TGTCCAAGCTGGAGTGCAGTGGCACAATCATAGCTCACTGCAGCCTCCATCTTGCAGGCTCAAGTGATCCTCTCACCTCAGCCCTCTGAGTAGCTGGGTCCACAGGCGTGCACCACCACACTCAGCAAATTTTGTTTATTTTTTTTTGTAGAGACAAGGTCTCACTATGTTACCCAGGCTGGTCTTGAACTCACGAGCTCAAGTGATCCACCTGCTTTGATCTCCCAAAGTGCTAGAATTACAGGAGTGAGCCACCATGCCCAGTGAATTAGAGTTGTTTTTTAATTCTCACTTTGGCCATATCTAATCTGCTGTTGAGTTTTTAAATTTCAATTATAATATTTTTTATTTCTAGAATTTCCATCTAGCTTTATTTCAAATATTTTGAGTCATTATTTATTGTCTCTTTTTTTTTTATTTTTTCTTACGTAGTTTTATATACTTCTTTGTCTGGTAATTCTGGTACTTAAAAGTCTTTGCTTGTCAAACAATTGCCAACAAATTAGACAAGCAAAAACTTCAAATACTAGAGTTACCGGACAAAGAAGTATGGATGCCTTGTTTCTTCATGGATGCCTCATTTTCTTGTGTATTTTGTGATTTTTGACTATGGTCTCTTATTCCTTAGAATGTTATCAATAAATGAAGAAAACTGGTTTGAAGGTTTGTTTATTTACAGAGTATCTGTATTTGTGTCTACACAATACAGGTACCTGGAGGCACTATCCATCAGGACCACCCCCGCCCCATTATTAACAGGATGTGTATGTGTGTTGGAGATATAATTTACATCAGCAGTCCACCACCTTTTTGGCACCGGGGACCAAAATGTCTTCATGGAAGATGTTTTTCCACAGATGGGCAGGGTGGGGTGTGCTGGGGGTTAGGATGAAACTCTTCCACCTCAGATCATATCAGGCATTAGATTCTCACACAGAGCACGCAAGCTAGATCCTTCGCACATGCGCAGTTCACAAAAGGCTCATGCTCCTGAGAATCTAATGTCTCTGCTGATCTGGCAAGAGGCAGAGCTCAGGCGGTAATGCTCGCTCGCCCCTGCTCACCTCCTCCTATGGAGCCTGGTTCCTAATAGCCCACGGACCAGACAGTTACCAGTCCACGGCTTGGGGTTTGGAGGTCCCTGATTTACCTGCCATAAAGTTTACCCTTTGAAAGCATACAATCCAGTGGTTCTTAGTATATTCACAGGGTTCAGGATCACTCATAAATACATCCTCAATTTAGACCACAGAGGTAATGTGACATGCGGCACACCCATACGAGGGCTACCTTTATGGTTATATATTCTTGGGTGAGATTTATTTTTTCTTTCACTTGAAACCAAGATTGAAGGGTCAGGTTTCCTTGCTGTGCCCTTCTGTGGGGCAGATTTGTTTCTATTTGCCTTATACCCAAGGCATAGCTGTGTAAAGTCCCAGCTTTATCCAGTGGTTTCCTGTTGGATTCCCTCCTTGAGAATCCTGTCTCCCATCTCCTGATTCTCGGCGGCCATCAGAACAGAACTTCAAGGTCACAAACATTGAACAGGTGCCTCCAGGGCAGCTGCCAGCTTCATCATTAGCTCACTTCTCTGGATTCCTACTCATAGTTCATTTCTGGCCTCAGGTGATTTGATTCTTTACTTCCTTGCCAGCTCAGCAATGCTTTTAGAAAATTTTTTTAAAAAATATTGTATTCAGCATTTGGAGTTGTTTACAGTGGCAGGGTTATTGAGGATACCGCAGGACTATTGTCTGTCTTTTAGTTTTGTTTAGAGTGTGCATTTTTTCTTTCTTACATCTTTAGTCACCCCTCCAGGAAGAGAGCGTGGGTCACTGTGGGTCCTGCCCTGTCTGCATGTGGCCATTCTTTTCCCCTTGGAGACTGCACTGGAGTTCTCTAAGCTGACTGGGCTCTGGGACTTCCACTCCTGCTCCCTGGAGAAGAAAGGGACAAAGCTGCCTCCTCAAAGACCCCTACGCAGTACTCACGAATGGCCGAATCTCACCTTGTCTGAAGGTTGTAATGGAGCCAAGTTCATTGTCGTCTCTTGGTTCACAGCTGGCCAGTTTTGGGGCATGGGTTTTGAGTCCCTTCTGCTTCCTTCCCCACAATCACTTCTCTCTGGCTTCCTTGGAGAATAATTTCTCATTGTGTACAGTTAACCAAGCGGAGAGAGAAAGCATCCTCAGGCCTTTTACCTCCTCCGAGGAGACCAGCTTGCCTTTGCAGCTCCGAGAAGCAGAACAAAGGGAGCACGCTCTGTGGGCTGCTGCCGTCTGTAACCCCAGGATCTCATGTTGAACTTATGGACCTTGTGGCTGCCCCTGGAAACGCCCTTCCACATCCCATTTCTAGCTGCATGTGTGTCTTGCCTGTCTGGAACTTGGGCCCCAGAGGAGCCCAGATGCATGGCCACTTCCCTCCCCTTCCAGGAAGCCTCCATTATCACCTACAGGAAACAGATCAGGAGGCATAAAAACAGTAACTCGTAAGGGATTTGGGGAGGAGGAGATTCCCTCAGGAAAGTTTATCAGAATGTCTTATGGAAGTTTTTTTTATAATCATCACCTCTTCACCCCAAATAAGTGAGCCACTGCTTCTAGAAGGAGTGAATCAGAGTGGAGAAATGTTCAGAACCATTCATCTAGAACTACACTGGCGAGTGATGCAGCCACCAGCCATGTGTGGCTATGGAGCTCTTGAGATGTGGCTCCTAAAACATTCACTGGATTTTAAACGTTTAATACCAAAAAAAGAATATAAAATATCTCAATATTTTTATATCAATTACACATTGAAGTGATAATATTTTGGATATGTTGAGTGAAATAAAATAGTTATTAAAATTAATTTCACTTTTATAAATTTTAAAAATGCAGCTACTAGAAAATTTAAAGTGTACACATGTGGATTGTGTTTGTGACTCACTATGTCTTAGGCAGCACTGATCTAAAAGATAAGTTGTTCCGTGTGTATGTGTGTGTGTGTGTGTGTATGTGTTTGTGTGTATGTGCATATGTATGTATGTGTGTGTGCATGTGTGTACATGTGTGTGTGTGCACACCTGTGTGTGGGTATATGTGTGTTTGTGTGTGTATGTGTATATGTGTGTGTGTATATATGTATGTGTGGTATTTAGATACAAACTGTAGGTTCTGCCTGCAGCCTATACTTATCTGATGGTTTGCCATTTTTGCCTGACTCGTATAAATAGAAATGATTGCATTCATCCCTACAGAGGTTTTTCAGCAGTGCCCACAGTCGCCATTCCCAAGCAGAAAAAGAAATACCATATCCAAGTGGGGAAAATCAAGCGGTTTTTTCAAGGAGTCACATAATCAGCGACAACTTCAAGTGGCCCTGTCCTCACCCTTGCTCTCTAGAAACTCATTACACTCAGTGACTAGCACCCATATTTGATATTGGATTCTATGTTAGTTTGGATGCATGGGGAAAGGTCAGTGGTCTCAGAATGCTGTTTGGTTTTGGTGCTGTTTTTTAGAGACCCAGCAGTGGCCCAGCTTTGGCTTCTGAGTAGTGGCCAGGCTGGGTGCAGACTTCTCCAGATTAACAGGGCAGCTTTCTTGGACTGGACTTGGGGATCCCACCAGCTGCTCTGAGCTTGAATCTCCTGCCTTGACAAATGGCATTTGATACTACACATGACTTCCTCATGTCCAATTTAACCCCCAACCTTAACTTCATCCTCAGAACGTTTTTAACTGTTACCCTCTTTGCCACCATCTTGGATGTTATGGAAGTTAATTATCATTTAAATATATTTTCTGGCTAAAATAAATACATTCCTAATATACAAACTTCAAATAACAGTCCATACTCAAGAGCATTATTTCTTCAGCACTCCTGACCTGGAAATCATACTCCTGTCCACCATTTTCCCCTTCCAGCTGAGCACAGCTGGCTGGTGAGGGGCCTGGGTTTGGAGCAGACTGTTTGGCCCTCCTGCTTTTAGACTGTGCGACTTGGGCAAGATGCATGACCTCCCCCACCCTCTGTGCCTCCTTTGCTTCCTGTGTAAAATGGGGAGAATGAGGACGTATCTTCAACTTTGCTTGAATGAATACAAATTAGGCACCTATGTCTGCTACCTACCTCAGTGTTTAGCACACATATATTTGTTGTTATTATTATTTTCCACAAAATGAGATCATAAATGTAAACTCTATTTGAAGCATGCTGTTTTAATTCAACAATCCCTGAAGAATATCTTTATTTTAGAGCACTAATTCAATGACTACATGGTGTTCTTTCTTGCAGATACTGTCTGCTGTAACTCATGTAACTGACAACCTACTGGAGGAATTTTAAGTTTGTTCTTTCTTTTCCTGTTTCTATTTCTTCCTTTTGCTATTGTAAACAATGCTGTAATGAACATCTGTGCGGCCAAATCTTTTTCCACATTTTTGAGTATCTTCTTCAGATAAATTCAAAGATGGAATTACTGCCTCAAACCCATTTACATTACACAAGTTTTAGTACTATTGGCGGAGCCTTCATGTTTTATCAGAATTGAGCATCACACCTCCCACCTGCAAGTGTAGGTGTCAAGGTCAAGGGCTGCCAGCTTTTATGATACCATCCTGCCACCCCAAGAGGCCAGTTAGCAACTTTGGCGAATAGGAAATGCTTCTTGCCTTCTGCTTACACCCGATCTTCCTCCTCCACTCCCCTCTCCGACCCTACCCAGGTGCCAGAGGCTCAGTTGTTCTTCCATGAGCCCCATGTTGATCTCTTTCTATCAATATATTTTCCTCATTTATTCTACGCACCATGAAATTTAATACAATATTGTATTTTTGCTTCATAATTTCTTGCTCTGGATTGTAAGCATAGTGAATATGGGAAAAAAAGAAAGGTGAAATTCTTTTACTTGAATCCACTGTCTACTGATGTGTCTCCTGGTGTCTTTTCTGAAGGTTTACTTTTCTTTCCAGAAGCCAGCAAGTTCTCCCTGATGCATCCTTTTCTTCTTTCAGATGCTGCGTGGAACCATTGGGCAGAAAGTAACACTGAGTCCCACGTAGAAAACATCACCTTGTATCAGAATCAAGAGGACATTTCAACAGTGGCCTCCAAAGGGGACGTGTTGGGTCAGACCTCCGGGAAGAGCCACGCTGCTTCGGATGCTCCAGAAAACCTCACTCTGTTCACTGAAACAGCAGATGCTAGAGGAAGGAACGGCTCTTCAAGTAGAACAAACTTCACTATTTCACCTGTTGGGTACTCGCTGGAGATAGCAACAGCTCTGACTTCCCAGAGCGGCGCCTTAGGTGAGCTTGTGCTGATGATGTGCATTTCACACATGCGCATCCAGTCCTGGAGAACAGAGTTTCTGCCATTTCCCACAAGCCCATTCTGAGCCACTGTGCCCTTCCAAGGTTCCTAGGCTGAGGTGGGTCAGACATGTGGCTTAGGCCTCATTTGTATGATGCTTGTCCCTGTGCAGATTCGCTGAGTGGCCTCTCTGGTCCTTTGGTATCTGTGATCCATGGCTAGTGGAATCCAAACTTCATTCCTTCTCCAGGGAGCCTCCCACACCTGAGGGTCTCAGAGGCAGTATGTTTTGTGGGATGCATAGCTGGGGCAGGCTTAGGTTTGGTTTGTGTTGATGTGACCCAAATGGTTGTTCTTGCTCTGGTGTGCACAATTTGGTGCTTTGCTATCTTTAGCAAAGAATGTCAAGAAGGTGCTGGGGGTCAGTGCGTAAGATTTGATTGAGGAAGAGAAGACTAAGAAAAGTAGCATTAATTAGGGACCTCCTACATACCACTGTCTGTTTCGTCAGTCTTTCCAGCATGTCTGTTGCGTCAGTGTTTCCAGCAAGCCCACGAGGTCATGTTATTCTCCTTTTAGGCATTTGGAAACTGAAGCTCAGAGAAGTGAGTTGACCCAATAAGTGTAGGTCAAACAGTTAACAGGTTTCAGAACTGGGATTGGAGTTTATGCCTGTGTATCTGAGCGAGGTGGCGGGGGGGCTGAGGTGTGGAATGTCTGGACAACGGGAGTGAAGTACAGAGGAGAGAAAGACAGGTTTGGCCTCCCTGCAGGGTGGCAAGGCCAGCAGCCTCCCTTGGGGAGGGCGTCAGTTGCCCACAGAGGCGAGGAAGAGCAGGCAGGACCATTGTGTGGACAGGGTTGGGGATAATCACATAGGACTTCGGAAACCTGGCAGTTTAGATTTGGTGTGGTAGGAAGAGTCAGTGAAGGTTTTTGAGCAAGTGAGTGATTTAACTAAAGTGAATTTGGGAGGATCACCTGGCAGGCAGGTACAGGATGTCTAGCGTGGGAGTGGGAGGATGGAGGGAACCTGGAAGGGACCACCCAGGCAGACAGAGATCCAGACACCAGGTGCTGCAATGTGTCCTGTTGGCCACAGGGACGAAGAGGAAGGAATTGGTAGGACTTGTTGATGGCCTGAAAGTAAAGGATGAAGCCGTCAGAGATGACTCTATGGTTTCAGGTCCTAGTGGCAGGAGGTCTGGTTGGGGGGACTCGATTCTGTACAGATGCATATGGTAGTATTTTGTATTCATAAATGATTCCTACAGAGCTTAGAAACTCTGCTCATGGTATTCCATGGTCTTGTTCTCCCAGATGTTGGGAATTTTGTTTATGTTGCATTCAGGTAAATTCTGGGACCCATTTGGTGGACGTGGGTGCTGGGTCCTGATCAGAACCTGATCTCTGATTCCGTATTGTCTGATACGTACCTCCCGTTTGCCCCTTTTCTGAGAATTTTACTATGATACATGGAACCTTTGTGAGAGGAGTTTATTTTTTGTGGAATGAACTGTTCTCCTAATTTCTTCTCATGTCTATATATTTTATAGATGTGAGAACTGAGGCCCGTCAAAGCATATTAAGACATTTGAAGTCTGCTGGTGGAATTCTAATTGTTGCTGTCTGTTTTCAGCTTCGGAAAGTCTTCACCTGCCATCTAGCAGTTCAGAGTTCGATGAAAGAGTTGCCCCTTTGCAAGCAAAGAGTGGAACAACCTCAGAGATGGGAACAGAGAGGGCAATGGGGCCGTCAGAAGGAGTGTCTGTGCACAGCCAAGAGGCCACGACTTCAGCTTCGAGCCCGTCCTCTCTTCCTGCTTTGGAGATGGGAGAACTGACCATGCCTCCTCAGAAGAGAAATTCCTCAGGCCCAGATCTCTCCTGGCTGCATTTCTCCAGGACACTGGTTTCCTCTCCTCTCTCAGACCATCCCTCATGTGAGTGCCAGATCCCCAGCTTAACACTCGGAAGTCCCTCAAAGTAGACATAAATCAATGTGCATAGCCAGCTAGTTACATACCCATAATAGAGGGTAAGGGGAAAAGACGTCAAGCCAAAATGCCATTCCTCTAATGCCAGGTACTTGGGGCGGAAGTAGGTACAACCTACCCAGTTTATGTCAGTATTGAAGCCCACGTTTAACATAGGTTTTTGGATTTTTTTGTTTTGTTTTTGTCACCCAGGATTGAGTGCAGTATGCGATCTCAGCTCACTGCAACCTCTGCCTCCCAGGTTCAAGTGATTCTCCTGTCTTAGCCTCCTAAGTAGCTGGGGTTACTGACGGCCATCACCATGCCCGGCTAATATTTGTATTTTTAGTAGAGATGGGATTTCAGCATATTTGGCCAGGCTGGTCTCAAACTCCTGACCTCAGGTGATCTGCCTGCCTCGGCCTCCCAAAGTGTTGGGATTAAAGGCATGAGCCACTGTACCTCACTATTGGTGTCTATTCTCAAGCAAGCCTTGGTGTGCATGAAATGGCAAGCATTGTACCATTTGATTGGGAGTTAGATTTTTATTTCTTCATTATTGCCGAAATGTTTCCTTCAACGGTAAAGAAAACATGAGTGTACATTTTTTTCTAGGCACCATTTTGAAAAAAATTAACAAACATAACATAGGAGTTTGCAAGGCATGATATTAGTAACTATCGCTGTGGAGTGCTCTTCTTTTTCTCTGCTGTTCCAGTTACTACTCATCAGTTAAGCCTCAGCTTAGGGATCCCAGAGCCTTTCTTCAACCACCTGGTCCTCTGTACTGTACACCTCTTCATAGCAGGTCATCTAATACCTCTCTGCCCAGAGAAACTGTAATCCTCTTGAGGACACAGGCTGTGTCTGTTACTTCTGACACATTGCCCCTCACCCCAGAACAAGGTGCAGCTGATAAGACACAGGGATTAGCACGTACCGAAATACCCTCACAGGGCACATCCTGTGGTGGGCCAAAGAGAATGTTGGAAACTCTGACCACCTTTTTTCTTCTCTGAGGTTTTATTTAGTGTTTGTGTGTGGTGCTTGTGTTTTCATCCTTGTACCAGAGGGAGCAGGACAGAGACGGTTGGAAGTGTTCTTGGAAAATGAGGTTAGCTTGCTTCAGAAATTGCCATTGCAAAATTTTTATAGGTCAGAGGTTTTTAGAAGTACTTTGCAAGATTAGGAGTTTGAGTTTATGTCATCAAAGCAAAAACTAAACCCAGAGGTCCTCTGGAGTGCCTGTTTAAAGCAGCCAATTCCCCTTCCACATACTCTGCATACAATTTCCTGCTGAGTGGATTTGGATATAATTTATGATTCATGTTTTTAGAAGATTGCTTTTTAAGATTATTCATAAACATTGGTTGGATTGGCTAAAAGCTGCAATTCTTCCAGCCTCAAAGTTCTGTGGTTCAGTGACTTACAACTTTACTAAACAGTAGAAAGGAAGCATTTTCTAGGAAGCTATGGTTTGATTTTGGTCAGGACCATTTAATATTTATAATTTAAATTCAACCTACTTCGGTGGTATATTTGAAAAATAAGCCCATGTTTCCAACTTTACTGGACTTGACTATGACTCTATATTTCACCTATATATTTTTTTACCTGTATTTTTCAACACTAAAAATATAATTGTCCCTGAAATTCTTTTACTATTCGTCCTTTTAGAAGCTTATACTTTTAACTGCTGGTGAGTTCCATCATATCTTTCATATCTCTTGAGTCTTTTACTGAGCATTTGTCTTTTTTTTTAGTGAACTGTGTGTTCAGTTTGAGGTAGAGTTTTAGATATTAGAGAGGGCTCTGGGTGCTATTAGATGGGATTATCACCAGACATCCAAGTACGACTGAATCCATCCTGCAAACCTCCTCTCCTCCCTGTGGGGATGCAGAGGGTACATGTACAAGGACCTGAAATTATATGGGGAACAAAGTTCTGCTTTATTTTTAAAGCTGGGCTGGCACCTGCTAACCCACCAACCAGAGCCTTCCCCTTGAATCTAAATGTTGGGACGTTGCTATCCCTTTCTGACTACACAGTACAGGAGCTCTAGGCACTCAGGTACGAGTGCTGGGAGAGAGCCAGCAGGTCTGCCAGGCAGACCTGGAGCCGACTCAGCCGGGCCAGCCAGCTCTGCAAAAACAAAAGCAAAGGGGGAGTGCAGCGGGGCTCGTGAACATTTGGCCACTCCACCCACTAGGAAATGTGATCCTGTGAAAAGCCTGGCACTTACATCAGTCCATTGAGTGATGCGCCTCACTAGGTGAGCACAAGGACAGCCAGGAGCCTGGTACAGGGAGGAGCGGGCTCCTTATTTGGAACATGAAGGAATTGGAGCAGATGATCAGAAATATTCTTTCTAGTTTCAGCATCTGTGATTCCATGTGTATTCAGCGTTTGTATTTTGTGCCTCATTTCACTCTTCACTCAGCCACACAGAAACAGGCATGTGACATAACCTCTTCCAAGGCTGGGATAGCCAGGAGTTACCTGCTTCCAAAACCAAATCTTATGCCTTTCAGTGTTAAAGCAAGTAGAGGCCTAGACAATGGATTCAGATTTTTAAAATAGATCAGAAACCATTGGAAATTGTTTTTCTTGCTGCTTTACATCTTTCCTGCTTTATATTTTTCTATATATTCCATATTTTTTTATAATGACCATTGTACTATTTGATCATCGGAGGGAAAAGCAAACAAAGCAACAAATGAGAAAAAAGCTCCCTTTTGAAGGTAGAAAGAGATATGTGTATGTTGAATTGTGTGAGAATGGCTACAATTGAGCACTAAATTTAGTACTGAGCTTCCTGGAAACCAGGGCACAAAGGGAAACTGGGTGGGGCATGCGATTGTTGTCAGATAAAGTTAAGCATAGAATTTCATCCATAGGCATAAGTGTTTGGGGGCAGTACATTTTTAGAGGACTGTTTATATAAGAAATGTTGAAGATCATAATGGAAAATGCCTTCAATTGCTGTTTTGTGGAAATTGTGCTAATGTTCTTTAAAAGGTGATTTTTTTAATAGATTCTCAATAGGAGCTGAGAGTATAATAATAGATCTCAACTTATGAAAGCATTTTTTGTGGGTAGCTAAGCTACTGTGGTCCAGGTAAATTGCTTTGTGGTGATTTCACTTTGTAAAGAAAGAGAGCATAAATAACTCAGAAGATTGTAGATGTGGTGTATCTTTCTCAAATATCAGCTGCTTCAGCTGTACTTTTGGCAATTTCTGGACAGCAGTCAGGTCAAGGTTGAACATTCTGTTGTGTGCCTGAGGTTCCAGTGTTTCATGCTGTGATTGGAGAGAGACCCATGTATTTTTAGCAGACGAAAGTCATTATTGCAGCCTCCCATTATAAAGATGAGGAATTTGGCTTATTTCTGCTCCTAGATAGATGGTCTTCTCATCTTTGAATGGCTGCTTTAGGTGTAGAAATGATCGAGAAGGTCAATTATTAAATAACGAAGAATCAAACCTGTTGATTAGAAACATGATACATTTCCCCCTAGATTTGTTTAGCAGGTGCTCATTTAGTAATATAAGTGATGTTTGTAGATTAGTTTGACCAAACATTTCCTCTTTTTACGAAGAGTCACCAACTCTGCCAAAGTATTCACACACATTTCATAGCTTTCCCATAAGGGTTAAATGAGGTTCATATATAATGTACTTAGCACAATGCCTTCTAAGTTATAATTGGTCAGTAAATGGTAGTTTTTGATAATGATGAGATAATGAGATAAAGAAGCAATGTTATGCAGAACTCTCAGGATCAGGGAAAAACAGAGCTATTTTCCTTTCATGATTTTCAGCATTTGTGACTTTTGAAATTATATTTCTGTGGCCATTGATTTGCTAAATCCACTAGAGGTGGACAGGCCTGAGTTATTCAGGCTGAATTCAGTATCACCACTGGGTTTTGTTTTTGTTTTTGTGTTTTGAGACCAAGTCTCTCTGTCGCTCAGGCTGGGGTGCAGTGACACAATCTCAGCTCACTGCAACCTCTGCTTCCTGTGTTCAAGCAATTCTCCTGCCTCAAACTCCCAAGTAGCTGGGATTTCAGGTGCCCACCACCACACCCAGCTAATTTTTATATTTTTAGTAGAGATGGCGTTTCACCATGTTGGCCAGTCTGGTCTCAAACTCCTGACCTCAGGTGATCTGCCTGCCTTGGCCTCTCAAATTCCTGGGATTACAGGCGTGAGCCGTTGCTCCTGGTGCACCACTGGGTTTTGATGGGAATTTTGTATGGATGAACTTAATGCAGTTTCCTGGAAATAAAAGTGTTTTGAAAGAGCCTCCAGCAAGCTGATGAGGCTGTAATCTGGTGGTCGTAAATAATGACTCTAATGAAGTTAGGGCCGAGAAGCCACGTGGCTGAGTGGGGATTTGGGGCATGTCTATTACACTTTCCTTTCTTATATACTGAAGTGTTTTTTGTTTGTTTAGTTTCATTTGGTTTGATTTATGTTTTGAAGTAGAGGTGGCTTTTGGTGGTCTGGGACTCTCTTTTTGTGGCCAGGTCTCTCTGTTTCTTGTTTTAGTTACTAGTTTTATAGATTGCCTGCATCTTCATTTTGTGTTCATTAAGGTAGGTGACCAGAGCTGCTGGCTGTGTTCTAGGTATAGCTGGTTTTATGGTTTTGCACAAGAGTGAGAGGAACATTTTTGTTTCCCATGCTTGCTTGCCCTCTCTCTGTCTCCCTCTCTCTCTCTCTCTCTCTCTCTATGTCTCTCTCTCTTTCTCTCTCTCAGTGTAGTGATATTTAAAATTTATTTGTGGTTTTGGTCACAACTGCACATAGGACTGGTCTTCAAGGAAGTGTTTATAATGACAACTTCCTTTTTCCCTTTTCTGGGCTATAATTAACAGCTCAAAGCATTTTATTATACAGGGGTAAGTTACTTCTTATTATTTTTAGCCTAAAAAAAAGAAAAACACTCTTTTTTGTGCCTTTAGTGTTACCTACCATGTTTCTTCCCATTCCCTAAGCTTTCCTGCAGTTTATTCCTGTTTGGAATGAAGATTTTAATAGACCTTTCTGGAGGGCAGATCTCAGGGCATCCTTTGGAAAGTTCTCTGTGGAGCGGAGCCACCTGTACTTCCATAGAGCAGACTACTCCTTTTGACCAGTAGTGTCTGCTTCACTCCTTGAGGTTCTTGACAGTTTCCCATGGATGGCAGCCATGGATTAGAGAAACTGCTCCTGGAGTCCTTGATCTCCAAGGGGCCCATTGGAGTAGTGTGCAGATTTGAGAGTTGGTCTCTAAAGCTTAATGAGGCAAAGTATGATCATGAAGCCTGTTTGCTGTTGGGTAGAATTAAATTTGTGGGGTAAGAATAAGTATTTCCTGCTGGTTAGAAATTTTGTTACTGAATAAATGCAGTTTGGTTAATAATCTTTCAAGACATAAGGCTTATGGTGGCTATGAGGTGGGGAATCATAAAGAACCCTTGATGGTGACAAGGCTGGGAATTATTGCTCTAGGCCGTGAGTGTCCCTGCCGTGTTCTGCAAAACCCTGGGCCCTCTGAGTAGTGACCTGGGGTGGGGCCCCTTGCAGCAGCTCCACATTGATTCATTTTATGTATGACATTTTAATCAATGATAGCATTTGAACAAATGGGTTACATTGCTAAAACAAAGCAAAATGACAAAAACCGTATCACAGTGGCCAGTCCTGTTTAAGCTGTAATGTAGAATTTAGCAGACATTTCATCTTTGTCTATAAAAAACAAATAATACATATAACGTATAAGTTTCTCACTGTGCCTGGTGAGGGACCTTGCTGTTCTCCGCTTTCTTCTATGAGAATTAGAACTAGTGAGGGAGAGCGCAGGCATGTGTCCTGGTCACACGTGTGTGTATAGATACGTTTGTATCTATATTAGGTCCACGGCATTTAGGTGTATCCACCAAAATGTAAGAAACATCATTTGTATCTCAAATACAGTCCTGATTTTCTTAAACTCCTGAATAATTTTGAAGCATATCTTCTTCTGTCATAGCTTCTGGAAGTACAGAGAAGCTTAACAAGTCCACTGGCGTCCAGAGCCCCTCAGTCAGTCAAACAAAGACAATGCACGTTGCCACCGTGTTCACTGATGGTGGCCCCAGAACGCTCCGATCTTTGACAGTCAGTCTGGGACCTTTAAACAAGACCGAGGGCTTCCCTGAGGACTCCAGAATTGCCATGACTTCAGCCTCAGTCCATCCTTCACCCTCTGCAGTGGAATCACAAAGCAACAGAGGAGTAACTGGCAATCCAGGGGATGGGGAATTCATTGAACCATCCACGGAACATGAATTTGGACTTACATCTTTGCATTGGCAAAATGATTCCCCAAGTAAGTATTCCATCTTTACTTGATCTATTAGGGACGATGTGAATCGTTGAATTTTCTTAGGGGATCTCCTCAAGACCATTTGTAATCTCCGGAGAAAAGTATGCTCTTTAATGGCACTATTGTATTTTGATGTTCACTCTTACAAGAACATTGTGAAGTTAGTCAGACAGGTGTCATTCCTCCTGCTTTCTTATAGATGAGGAAACTATGGCTCTGGGGGCCGGTTTAAGTAATGGGTGCCTGGCCATTTAGCTCAGTCAGTAGAGTTGAGACCTTAGCCTCCGGGTTCTCGGTTCCGTCTTCTTTTCACTCTACGGCATTGTCTTCAAGCTGAGAGCTGGCCTGCTCTTTATGTTTTATTTTTATTTTGTTTTGGAGAGAAGGTCTGTCACCATCATCCAGGCTAGAGTGCAGTGGTGTGACCACGGCTCACTGCAGCCTCGACCTCCCAGGCTCAGGTGCTCTCCCACCTCAGCCTCCCGAGTAGCTGAGACTACAGGTGCTTGCCACTCCACCCAGCTAATTTTTCTATTTTTCTGTAGAGATGGGGTCTTGCCATGTTCCCAGGCTGGTCTTGAACTCCGAGGCTGAAGCTATCCTCCCTCCTTCCCTCCCAAAGTGCTGGGATTACAGGCATAAGCCACTGTGCCCTGCCTGGCCCACTCTTTAAACTAGCTTCAGTTATTTTGTGTACAGATCATCTTTCCATATGAATGTGCAGATTCATTCATTCCCAAATTCATGGTTTGTCCTAATCCTTATAGTTGATTTTTTATTTTTATTTTTTCTATACTTTGGAATTAGAATAACCTTTATTCATATGAGAACTGTTTTAGGAAAGTCCTCTGACTGTGCGCTGTGTTTATGTGCATCGTATTTGTTGTACATAACCACACTCTCAGTCTCTCCAATGCTTATGGGAAAGAGAATGGAACACTCAAGTCTATAGGTCCCTCTGCTACTTGCACATGTTGTTTCAAAGGTCCCCTGTTCAACAAGTTATATTTTTGTATTGCTGTCTTGTTGCCACCTGAGAGTCTTGAGTAACTATTTAGAATATGATAATGCATAATACATTTAATAAACACTACACCATGTTCCTTGGCAAAGAATCTTTCCTCGGAGAGGTTTCACTTGTTAGTTGCGAAGGGATCTCTTTCATATCTCTGTCATGGCCTTTTTTCCCACGATGCCTTATAGCCTTTGGAGAACATCAGCTTTCCAGCAGCTCTGAGGTGCAAAATGGAAGTCCCTTGTCTCAGACTGAGACTGTGTCTAGGTCAGTGGCACCTATGAGAGGTGGAGAGAGCACTGCACGCTGGCCCTTGACCAACAGTGCGGCATCTGCAGATGTGACAGCAAACTCTGCTTCGTATCCTGAAGGTGTGAATGCTTCAGTGTTGACCCAGTTCTCAGACTCAACTCTACAGTCTGGAGGAAGTCACACGGCATTGGGAGATAGGAGTTATTCAGAGTCTTCATCTATATCTTCCTCAGAAAGCTTGAATTCATCACCAGCACGTGAAGAACATTCAAGTGAGTTTTTCCAGTTCATGCAACTGTGCCCCATGGAGGAGAGAGGGACTCATGATGCTTATGAAATCTGCGGCATATTAAAACTATGCATGAGGGCTGGTTACAATGGCTCATACCTGTAATCCCAGCACTTTGGAAGGCCAAGGGAGGTGGATCATCTGTGGTCAGGAGTTTGAGACCAGACTGACCAAAATGGTGAAACTTCATGTCTACTAACAATACAAAGAATTTGCTGGCCATGGTGGTGGGCATCTGTATCCCAGCTACTTAGGAGGCTGAGACCAAAGAACTGCTTGAACCTGGGAGCCGGAGGTTACAGTGAGCCGAGATCACGCCACTGCCCTCCAGCCTAGGTAACAAGAGTGAAACTATGTCATAAAAAAAAGAAAGGAAGGAAGGAGGGAGGGAGGGAGGGAGGGAGGGAGGGAAGGAGGGAAGGAAGGAAGGAAAAGAAAGAAAGAAAAAGAAAAACAAACCATGCATGAATGAAATAACTCTTGAGGCCCCTCCAGCTTTCTTCTTCCCCAGGCCCTTCTTCTAGCTGATTGATACAGATACACCTATATATTCCCCAGTTTTTCTGGCACATCTCTGAGAAGATGTTCTTGCCACTTCTTCTTCCCACACACAGCTCAGGGACTTCTCTGTCTACCTCCTCTCATTTCCTGCAGCCCAAATCATAACTCCATACCTGCCTCAGTTACAGAGCTTCTGGAAGGTGAAAATATCACCCTCTCGTGAGTAGTTGTCAGGGCATTCATCAAAAGAAATTCTTTTTTAAAAAACAGCTTTATTAAGGCATATTTCACATTCCATCATATTGGCCCATTTTAAGTACACAATTCGGTGATTTTTAGCGTAGTTGCAAAGTTATACAGCATCACCATTGTCTAATTCCAGAACATTTCCATCACCCCAACAAAACTCCAACCTCATCAGCCATCACCTCCCATTCTTCCCTCCTCCTAGATCCTGGCAATCACTCCTGTGCTTTCTGTCTCTGTAGATGTGTCCATTCTAGACATTTCCCATAAATGAAACCATACAATATGTGGTCTTTTGTGTCTTTCCCTTAGTGTCATGTTTTCAAGGTCTATCCATGTTGTATCACAACTTCATTCCATTTGCAGCTTAATAATATGCCATAGCAGGCCAGGTGTGGTGGCTCACGCTGTAATCCCAGCTATTGGGAGGTCGAGGCGGGCAGATCACGAGGTTAGGAGATCGAGACCATCCTGGCCAACATGGTGAAACTTTGTCTCTACTAAAGTACTGGGACTACTGGCCCTCCCCTGTAGTCCCAGCTACTTGGGAGGCTGAGGTAGGGAAATCACTTGAACCTGGGAGGCAGAGGTTGCAGAGAGCTGAGATTGTGCCACTACACTCCAGTCTGGCGACAGGGGAAGACTGTGTCTCAAAAAAACATATGCCATAGCAGGGATATACCACACTTTGTTTATCCTGTCATCAACTGATGATGTTTGAGTTGTTCCCACCTTTTGTCTATTATGACTAATGATGTGGTGAACATTCACAAGTGTGTATGTGGTTGTAAATTTTTAATTATTTAGGAATGGCCAGGTTATATTGCAGCTCTATTTTAAGCCTTCTGAAAAACTGCCAAACTCTTTTCCCAAGTGGCTCCATCATTTTATATTCCCATCAGCAGTGTACAAGTGTTCTAATGTTGCTACATCTTCACTGACGTTTGTAATCATCCATCTTTTCTGATTGTACTCATCTGAGTGAGTGTGAAGGCATCTCCTTGTGGTTTTGACTTGTATTTCCCAGTTGACTAATAATGCTGAGCATCTTTTCATGTGCTTCTTGGCCACTTGTATGTCTTCTCTGAATATGTCTATTCAAATCTTTTGAGTATTTTATTAAAATTCTATTATTTGACTTTTTATTATTAAATTGTAAGAGTTCTTTGTGGCCAGGCGTGGTGGCTCACGCCTGTAATCTCAGCACTTTGGGAGGCCGAAATGGGCGAATCACTTGAGGTCAGGAGTTCTAGACCAGCCTTGCCAAAATTATTATAGGCGTCTATAATAAAAATATAAAAATTAGCTGGGCACAGTGGCACATGTCTGTAATCCCAGCTACTCGGAAAACGGAGGCAGGAGAATCACTTGAAACCTGAGGAGGCAGAGGCTGCAGTGAGCTGAGATCGTGCCACCGCACTCCAGCCTGGGTGACAGAGAGAGACTGTCTCAAAACAAAAAAAAAAGTTATTTGTATATTCTGGATACAGTCTTTTATCAAATACATGTAATCTGCAGATATTTCTTCTATTCTGTGCATGGTCTTTCTCTTTCTTGATGATATCATTTGTAGCACAAAAGTTTTTAAGTTTGAAGACGTTCAATTTGTCAATTTGAGAAAATTTTTCTTTTGATGTTTCTTTTTAATAATGCTTTGGGATAACTTTTTAAAACAATTCTCAGCAGTCTTTTATCAATGTAAAGTATATTCTGACTAAAGCAAAAATGTATTCTCTTATCATGTAAGCTTTGGAGAGGTTTAAATTCTTACTTCTCCACCACTAATAATAGCTCCATTTCCCCCATATGAGAATCCTAATTGATGAAGAAGTTTAGCATTTCTTAATAATCCTGTGATATGGAAAAGCATATGCTTATCATGAAAGAATACCACACATACGAGTGGGGGATATTTATGCTCTTCTGTGTCTGTGCCGGGAAAACACTTTCTCTATCTGCTAAGCAGAAGGAATCATTTTTCACCCTCGCTACTGTGGAGCTCAGGGCTTTTGCCTTCTTAAACCAGGATCTTGGGTTTCATAACCTTTCCCTTTTACATCTCTTTAGTACCCCTCTTCTCTGCAATTAATGCTCAGTTGGTTCATGTGGAAAATGTGATTTCAGTGTGATCAGATGTTGGAGTTCAGTTATAAAGAGCTAGATAAGAAGTAGCCACATCCCTGAAACCATCTCACTGTGGGTTACACAATGCTTTATCTCATTCCCTCAGAATCACTCAAGCTGATGGGCTCTGCACTCTACCCTTTCAGAGTTCTGGCCCACTCCGTTTTCTGCATTCAGATTCAGCCCCTCTAGTTCATGCTGTGACTCTCTCTCCACTTTGTTAAGCCCATAACCCTGATGTGGTCATCGGCCTAAATTTCATTTAACAGAGAGAAGGATCTCCGCATCCAAGGCCTTTTCCCCTTTGCCCAGAGAAACCGTGTGCAGATAGATCCTGCTCTTGAGCCTCTCCTGGTTGGCTCTCCACAGGTCTGGAGCCCTTCAGCCTGGCTTGAGTCGCATCTGTCTCTGGCTTTTGGCTTTCTCAGTGATGCTCATGGCCCACGCTCATCCTGTCTGTTGATTCAAACCTATCCTGAAATGAATTTAGCCAAGACTAAGATTTACACTGTTTTCCCTCAAAGCATGACCATGGGGTACCAATGGCCAGTCTGGGCTGGGAATGGGAAGAAGAACCAGAAAAGGATTCTGGTTTTTGTTTTTTTGTTTTGTTTTGTTTTGTTTTGTTGTACAGCCAGATTAGGAAGGATTTAGGCCAAGGAAAATTGGACCTTATTTTCATCATTTCTGAAAATAAGGGCTTATCTCATAATCTAACTAAGATTAGTTCTAAGACCCTTTAGGTTTGTACCGTAAACATACCCAAAAGAGAAGGAAAATGACATTTATTCATGTGTCATCTTCCTATTCCATCCTCATCAATGGAGTAAAACACATGCATTTAAAAAAAAATAAAAGAAGACAAGATGTGAGCCCACTTTTCACCCTCTGCCTCAGGCTGTTTCCCTGCCATTGTACTAATGCTCTGGAATGACTGGCCCTGTGGCCATTCATGTATTCTTGGTCCTTCCAGGAGGAAGAGCCTTCCAAGGAGGACTGTGGCCTCCCTCCTGGGCCTTGTGCAAATGTCTAAAGCCCCGGTAGAGTTATTAGTCTTTCACCCACTGTTTACCTTCTCACCGCCACTACTGACATAACCTCGATTTATTATGTATCACTGAGCAGAAATCCAATATCAATCCTATTTGCTAAAGTAATATAAATCCTATAAATCCAGGGTGCCTGACAGATGTCCTGATCCACAGTTCCTCTTGAGGTTTCAATCACTGATCCATGTTTACAAGAGCAACAGACATCTCAGATAAAGATCCTAAGAGTATGGGGAAGCGTTTTGGCTCCCATGGCCCAGGAAGTGAGGCTTTGTGCCCAATCCTGTCACTCCAGCCCTGCATTTATCAGCTATCCCCTTTCACTCCTCTTTTAGCCTTGGAAGACAGCCGAGAGCTGGGTGGAGCACTAGATGACACTTCTGACAGCGCAGAGAACAGGACTTCTGGGGTGCCCTCCCTTGGCACTCACACTTCAGCTACTGTCACTGGAAATGGGGAACGCACACTGCGGTCTGTCACCCTCACCAACACCAGCATAAGCACGACTTCTGGGAAAGCGGGCAGCCCTGCAGCAGCCATGCCTCAAGAAACAGAGAGTGTCTCTCTGCATGTGAACGTGACGGACGATGTTGGCCTGGTTTCACAGTCACTGGCCGCCTCCAGTGCCCTTGGAGGTGGGGTATCTTCCACAGTCTCTTTTAACACATCCCTTCAGCTCACCTGTCCATTTACTCACAGTCTTGGGATGATTCAGTTAGCTCTCAAGCCAGAAAGTGCCTTACAGGTACTTCTTTATGGAGAGAAGTTTCTAGCATCTGCCACCTAAGCAAGGTCAACACCCCTCCCCAATTCCCACCCTGAGCCCTCTACACACACTCACCTAAGGAATTTGGGATTGTGTCTGCTGGGTGGCTTAAAATAAGAGACCAACCACTAAGGTCAGTCTCCTGGGAAAGAAATATCTCATTCTACAGAATGGGAAGTTGGTAGGGTTTTCCTCCATTAAGGCATAGCAGTTATTTTATTTGGGGTCTTATTTTCAGATACTAATTTGCTTTTATCAAGTAAGGCATGTGGAGGGAATTTGAAACTGCTCTCTATTTTTAGACCCTTAGTCCCCACTTCTATTACCATTTCCACTGCTGCTGCCACTACTTCTCTCAGGTCAGTCTGCTCAGAGGAGACACTGACCATTCCTGCCTGCCTACAATGTGTTTATTCAAAGTGCTCACCATTAAAAACTACCTCTCCAAAGAAAGTGTTTCACCCACTTGAGTTATACCACTTGGGTTCATTTCAGGACACTGAAAGTCTGTTTGATAGTACATATTTCAGAGATCTGTTGTTCATTTATTTGACCTAACTTTGGCTTTTCCGTTTGCAGTCACTGGGATTAGCTATGGCCAAGTGAGTGGCACAGCTATTGAACAAAGGACTTCCAGCGACCACACAGACCACACCTACCTGTCATCTACTTTCACCAAAGGAGAACGGGCATTACTGTCCATTACAGATAACAGTTCATCCTCAGACATTGTGGAGAGCTCGACTTCTTATATTAAGATCTCAAATTCTTCACATTCAGATGATTCCTCCTTTTCTCATGCTCAGACTGACAGAAGTAACATCTCATCCTATGATGGGGAATATGCTCAGCCTTCTACCGAGTCACCAGTTCTGCATACATCCAACCTTCCATCTTATACACCCACCATTAATATGCCAAACACTTCAGTTGTTCTGGGCACTGATGCTGGGTTTGCTGGTGACTCTTATTCTTCCTCCTCTGCTGCTGCTGCCTCTTTTTCTTCTTCAGGGCCTCCTTTGCCTCTGCCCTCTGTGTCAGAATCCCACCATTTATTTTCATCAATTTTACCATCAACCAGAGCCTCCGTGCATCTGCTAAAGTCTACCTCTGATGCATCCACACCATTGTCTTCCTCACCGTCACCTTTACCAGTATCCTTAACAGCATCTACATCTGCTGCACTTTCTGTCTCACAAATACCCTTACCACCATCATCTTCTACCCCAGTCCTGCCCAGAGCAAGAGAGACTCCTGTGACTCCAGTTCAGACATCAACAATGACATCATTCATGTCAATGCTCCATAGTAGTCAAACCATCGACCTTAAGAACCAGAGCACCCCACACCAAGAGAAAATCGTTACAGAATCAAAGTCACCAAGCCCAGTGTCTCTGCCCACAGAGTCCACCAAGGCTGTAACAACGAACTCTCCTTTGCCTGCATCCTTAACAAAGTCCCCCACAGAGCAAACCCTTCCAGCCACAGGCACCAACTTAGCGCAAATGTCTCCAGCTTTCACAACCACCATTCTGAAGACCTCTCAACCTCCTGTGACCACTCCTGGCACCCTGTCAAGCACAGCATCTCTGGCCACTGGCCCTATAGCCGTACACACTACAGCTGGAAAACAGCTCTTGCCCACCCATCCTGAAATTCTAGTTCCTCAAATCTCAACAGAAGGTGGCATCAACACAGAAAGGAACCAAGTGAATGTAGATGCTACCACCAGATTGATCCCTGTGACCAGTGTACCCACATCAGCAAAAGAACTGACCACAAGGCTTGGCGTTATAGCAGAGTACAGTTCAGCTCCACATTCCCTCGGAACATCTCCCCAAACCACAGACGTTTCCACGGCTAAAGCCTTGGCTCCCAAATCTGCCACTTTTGCTGTTCACAGCAGCACATGGTCAACAACAACACTGTCCTCTTCAGCCTCAGGTAAAACACAGTCATACAAGCACACATTAACTGCAAGGTCCAGTCCAGCACAGAGAGCTGCATGGGGCTCGGGGTTCATGTGAATTTGTGGAAATGGCCAGCATTTGAAATAGCTTCTGTTTTGTGACCTAAAATGCTTCCTGTTGAAACACTTAAAGTGTAAAAGAAGGTCATGGGTGGGCCTAATTTTCTCGCCCCTGTGTTGCATAATGCTTCCTGAATAAAGGGGAAAGGATGCACTGGTCGTGTGTCACATCAGTAGATGGCACAATTGGAGCTTCTAATGTCCTGTAGTTGTAAGAGCTTTTCTTTTTCTTTTTCTTTTCTTTTTTTAACCAGTGATCTGAGCACCTCTGGGAAATGAAAGGTGGATCTTTCTCCAGGGAAGTTTTGGAGCCTTGCTTCAAGGCTTATAACCTTCAGTTTCGGAGTCTTGCTCTGTTGCCAGGCTGGAGTGCAGTGGTGCAATCGCAACTCACTATAACCTCCACCTTCCGGGTTCAAGTGATTCTCTTGTCTCAGCCTCCCAAATATCTAGGACTATAGGTGTGTGCCACCACACCCAGCTAATTTTTGTATTTTTAGTAGATATAGGGTTTCACCATGTTGGCCAGGATGGTCTCAATCTCTTGACCTGGTGATCTGCCCACCGCGGCCTCCCAAAGTGCTGGGATTACAGGCTTGAGCCACCACGCCTGGCTTAAGAGCTTTTCAAGCATGGCTTTAACTTCTCAGAGGTCAGAGGAGAGCAGTGATGCAGGATTGCAGGGTGGAGAAACTAAAGAAAAGAAGCTTAGGTAGCCCAGCTGAAACAGGGATAAACTGGGTATCTGCTTCTAGATCAGATCCCAGAGTCTCTGAGTCAGGGCGTCCCCAGTCAACAGGGGCTTCTTGGGGTCACTTGGCTTCTCTTGAGCCCAAGCTTCTTTGTCTCCCAAAGAGAGTGTGGCTAGTTGATAAATGCAAGTGGGGAGACATGTAAATGAAAAGATGATGAACTAACCTTTTCCCACGGTTACTACGCAGCCAGGGCTCCTTTACATCACACTTAGGGTTGTTTTTATAGCCACGTTGAAGTTTCTGGAAAGTAAAACCAGCCAAATGATCTTTTGTCATTTAAGGAACAGTAGAAGGAAGTAGGATGATGAATCTTTTCATGTCATGTTCAAAATTACGCTTTCGGCTTGTCCAGACACAGGAAAAGGAAAACTGCTGCTGGAAAAGGAGTGAAATGGAAACTGGCATCTTAGGGAAGAAGGAAAGAAGAGATGATGCTTTGTAGTGTTTGGGGCAGGAGGCTCAGTGAGCAGCACAGTTCCAGCTTGTCAGCCACAGTCAACCTGGGCTGGAGGCTCATAAGCAAAGTACCCCCATGCCAGCCCCACAGTGCTCCTTTGTACCAGTGATCTGAGCACCTCTGGGAAATGAAAAGTGGATCTTTCCCCAGGGAAGTTTGGGAGCCTTGCTTCAAGGCTTATAACCTTCAGTTTCACAGGCGACATATATTCCAGTGCCAGATGGAATCTAATTCACAAATCTCCCTTAAAGCCAATTACAGACATTCTGATGATAACTGTAGTTGAGTATTAGGGGCACATTCACTGGCTGTTGGAATAGTTTTTGTGCCAGTGTTCATGGATCAGTGTTTGGTTATACTGGTGCTGTGCTTCTGTGGGTGATTTTAAGTAATACTTGACATGGCAGTAAATGATAGGAATACCATCTTTAGGTTTAGCTTATTTGTTTTCGGGGTTATTGTTACTATTTTTTTGAGTGAAGACTTGACTTTTACCTTCTTTTTTTCATTCTACCACGATTTCCTTTTTGCAGACAATGCAGTTACAGGCTTCGGCTTCTCTAAGTATGTCAGAAACCTTTATGAAGCATATTACATAACTGCTCAACTCTGATCATTTTCTGAATATTGCACAATATGTGGAGGCTCAGTTAAATTTGGAGATTTTTGGGTAAAGGATACTATGATTCTGATAAAGCCCAAGAGAAAGGGCAGGGCACGTGTGTACACACACAAAACACATGCACACAGAGTAAATCTCCTAGTGGGGGGATCAATTGATCAGAGATCCTCTTCCCCGTTAATGTGTGCTTTCAATTGACATTGATCTATGTAGAATTTTCTAAGTGTCACAAAGGCAATATCCTCATCAATCCTGAATGGAGTGACCTGTAAGCAGCATTGATTAGAATCAGTTCTTGCATTCAGGGATCCATCCCATTGTCTAACACTTATATCTGGACACAAACTAGTATCAGGACCTAGTCCCATTGCACCTCTGGGAAACCCATTTTACTTTTGTAGTATGGCCTTTCAGGGCAAGTAAACAGAAATAAGCAAGAATCAAATATTAGCTGGGAGAATTAAATAGTTACCTAGAGCTGCCTTTATATTTCCTGTGTGGTTAACTGCTTTACACCTGGAATGTGTTTGTAGTCAACAGCTGTGTCACAAACCCTTGTCTTCATGATGGCGAATGCATCACAGACAACACCAGCCGTGGCTACCACTGTAGGTGCCTGCCTTCCTGGCAAGGGGATGACTGCAGTGTGGGTAAGTAATGTAATGTCCAGAGGTTTATACTACAGTACCATATTGGGCTTCCCAGTACACTCCTTTTTCCTCCAAAATGTGGACAAATACGCTGTTTTAGTTAATACCCTGCTTATTTGAGAGTTAGCATGCTTGTAGGTTGTAATCTGCAGGAGAATGTCAGGGACTGTAGTGTGGCACTGACAGACTTCCTGATCTGGGTCTATTGCCAATACTCCTGCTACACTGGACCCTATTCCTGCCCCTGGACTTTCCTGTGCTGATGCCTCTGCCTGGAATCCCCTTTTGCCACCCTAATCTATTTATTAAACTCCTTTTAGTTGTAGTCCAGATGTATTTGAAACAGTCTTTAATTCTCCCCTCTGTTAAAATTTGCTCTGTCCCCCACATATGTAAGTCCTATGTTGTATTTACAGTTAGTTGTTTCTGTGGCCACCTCCACCCCCCTTCGATAGATGGCAAGCGCCTTGAGGGCAAGGGTGTTCTCATTCTCATCCTTGGGGTCTCATCACACCTAGCACCATTTGGCCCTTAGTAAGTACTTACTATACTGGGTTATGGTTTTGCTGTTTGCTATAGATTCAGTATGGCCTTCCTTTTTCTCCTCTGCAGATGTGAATGAATGCCTCTCGAGCCCCTGCCCATCCATGGCCATATGCAACAATACTCAGGGATCCTTTATCTGTAAATGCCCAGTTGGGTACTTGTTGGAAAAAGGGATATGTAATTTGGGTAAGAGACTTAGTCTATTTCGGACTTTATTCTGTACCACAATCTATTTTACAAAGTAACATTTATTAGTTTTCTTCCTAATCAAAATCAGCGTTTGTCGAAGGTTTGGGAATATAGAAAAAAGTGGAAGCCATTGTCCATTATTCTAATACCCGGAGATAGGGCACCCTACTTTGCATTATGTTTTTGTGTGCAGTATATTTTTACATAGTTGAAATCATAGGATATTTGTATAAATATTATGTCTTAAACATTTTTCTGTGTTGTTAAAAACAGTGTACAAACATCCTAATGACTGCATATTATGCCATCATTTGTGTATAATATTATTTGCTTAACCACTCCACCCTGCAGCTAGGGGGAAAAAAGTCAAAAGGATTATTCTGACTACATAGGAAAAAAAACACAAACACATTTAGGTGGAGACAAGAGAGAGTAAAACTCTGATTGCCTTACTACATTCACACATTCCTTCAGTTTTTAAAAATGATCTTCACGCTCTTGTTCATAGGCAGATACATTTTGAGAAAGCTGCTGTCCTAATTGTCTCACACAATTTATCCTATGTTGTTCGCTAATTTGATAGATCCATGAAGCTGTTTGATTTTGAAAATCATCTCCATTTCGCAAGTTAAAAGGCAAACAAACAAACCAAATGAAAACAAGGCACTGACAAAGTGCTAAGTGGCCAAGCTTATGTAACAGGTTGATGAGAGACCTGGTTTCCACCCCACAGCTCTTTGTATTACGTGATAATGTGTTAATCTTAGGAGCTTTCTTATTTGCAGGGTGTGACCCTTGTTAGAATGTCGAATTTAATATATAACTTGTTGAAGAAGTTAGAAATGAAAGATACAGAGTTTTTTGGGTCTTTTTTTTTTTTTTTTTTTGAGACAGAGTTTCACTCTGTCGCCTAGGCTGCAGTGCAGTGATACCACCTTGGCTTTCTGCAAACTCCACCTCCTAGGTCCAAGCGATTCTCATGCCTCAGCCTCCAAGTATCTAGGATTACAGGCATGCACCACCATGCCTGGCTGATTTTTGTATTTTTAGTATAGAAGGGTCTTTGCCATGTTGGCCACGCCGGTCTCGAACTCCTGACCTCAAGTGATCTGCCTGCCTTGGCCTCCCAAAGCGCTAGGATTACAGGTGTGAGCCACTGTGCCCGGCCCGATACAGTTTCTAAGCTAAGAAAACTGTCAGGTAAAATAACTCACCTTTGAATTGTCTTAAATTGCCCAGTGTGACACTTAACACAAAAAAAGTGCTCAGTGTTTTTGAGAAAGCAAGTGTCTGTATCTTTTGAAAGTGCTATTACCTATAGGCTGAAGCGACTTTTTAGGAAGTACCCTACCAAAATAATGGTAAAATTTTGAAAATTATTTAAAATACAAAGATTAAGTGAAAAAATTATTTCAAAAAGAAGGATCTAGAAATAGAGACATCAGTCAAAATCAAGAATTTCTCTCATTCTGGATTACAGGCCTGGCACGGTGGCTCATGCCTGTAATCCCAACAATTTGGGAGGCCGAGGTAGGCTGATCACTTGAGATCAGAGTTCAAGACCAGAGTGGTCAACATGGTAAAACCTTGACTCTACTAAAATTACAAAAATTCGCCACATGTGGCAGCACATGCCTGTATTCCCAGCCACTGAGGAGGCTGAGGCATGAGAATAATTTGAACCCGGGAGGCGGAGGTTGCAGTGAGTCCAGATCATACCACTGCACTCAGCCTGGGCCACAGAGCGAGACTCTGTCTCAAAAAAAAAAAAAAAAAAAAAAAAGATTTTTTTTTTTTTTCTAATAATTTACTTGCATTTTAGTAAACTATTTAGCCACACCCTAATAAATAAGCCAGGAGTTTTTAGTTTAAGAACAGAGAAGCTGGAAATGATTTTATTTTTAAGCATTGTGAGGAAAGTATATTTGCCCAGGACTCAAATGATTTACTTCCAGCTCCAGAGCCACCACCTATAGCACGTGGCTCCTGAGCATTAATGTCCTCGTCTGTAAAATCAGATTACCATCTGTCCTGCTTCCCACCCAAGATTATTGTGAAGATCAAATAAAGTAATATATTTGAGCAAGCTTTGAAAATGGTAAAGAGCCGTCCGGATGAGAGGTATCATTTAACTTTAGCCTTCAAACTCTTAGACCAGAATTGAAAGCAATGAAAACAATAAACTGCTGAATACAAAGTAATAATTTTGGCTGTTTCCCTCCAAAAATTTATTTAAATAACATAGGGAAATCAACAGTCAAAATGGAAGTAAAAATCCTTCTCAGATCCAGGTGATGATGTAATTGCAGGCATAAGGGTGTAAATGGGAAAAAAAAAAAAAAAAAAAAAAAAAAAAAAAAAAAAAAAAAAAAAAAAAAAACCTGCCTGGAGCAATTGCAGGGTTTGGAAGGAAACTGATATGTCTTCATATTCACACTGAAAGCAGATGCCGTGTTTACTTTCCTGACTCAGAACAGATCTGTACCTGACATTTGCAATGTGAATTTCTATACAGAGAGTCTAAGTATCAGCCTAGACATGTGAGATGGCAAAGTGAAGAGGCGGGACCATTGTTCTGGAAGCCTGTGTGCGGAGGGTCCCACAGGTAGTGCGGCTCAGGAGGAGAGCAGCACTATCGCCTTCACAATCATCTTTTCCTTTTCAAGTCATTTAGCTTCATTGTTCATAAACATCAGAGGAACATGCAAATTAGAGCATGCTGAAATGCTTTCATTTGGCCAAGAATGTTTTCAAAGAGCTCCCTGCTGCTCAGAAAGAGTCCTAAGCAGCTGGCTTCACTGAACTGTAGAACAAGCAAAAAGATGTTAAGTAAGGATTAAGGCTTTAGACAGTAAGTAAAGGATGTTAAATGTTTTCTCTGGCTCATTTGTGGGCCTTTTTCTCAATTCAGCATACAGGCTTTTGGGGAGAGAGCAGCTTCATGGACTTCTGTGTCTTGAGCTATTTTTTTTCTTCCAGAGGGAAAGATAAGCATTTAATATAAAGGAAAATAAGAGCCAGCAATAAAACATTCCATACTAAATTTTGGTTCCCTGCCCATTTGTAAGTCCCATTCCTCTCAAGCCCAATCAGCACAAATTGATGTTAACTAGAATTTTATTTTATGAGTGAAATGGGCCTTGAAAATGAGACTGCTTTCTTCCATTTTTGAACCCAACAGTGTCTCGAATATGGGCCGTTTTCATTATGTGGCTTATAATCATGGAGTCGGCAGCCCCCTGGAGTATAGGCCCACCACAAATGCTTGGCACCTTTCTTTCTCTCAAGCCCCTTGGGTGTCCTTAGTTTATTAGATTCCTCAGGGCACAGAGGTCATAGGGGAAAGAAGAGCTTTGAAGATGGACATGCACGTGCTCCAATGCCAATGGTGGCCCTTGGGAGCCTGGGTGAGCTTTCTTAGGAAGTTGCCTGACCTCTGGAAGCCCCCTTTATCAATGATAAGATGGGAATTTCCTCTGACCAAGAGGAATGGGATTTGGATGGGGGTGGTCTAAGGACAAAAGGAAACTGAAGCACCCCCTTGAATGTGGAGGGCATGATTCAGTTGGAGACTTCAGAGGACAAAAGCCTTCCTCTGCCGAAAGCCTGATGAGGCCTGAGGATCATTTTTCGCATCTAACACACTTCCCTCCCACCTCCTAGGATGACATTGTTTAGACCTGCTCATGTTTCTCCTTTGTAGCAGCTTTGCTGGGCATCTATTATGTGGGAGGCCATCCCAGGGACATCATGAAGACTCCTTCTCTTAGCAGCCTTGCACATACACAAAAGGTTCTTTGGAGTTTCTCTCTCTCAAAAGTTTGCTCAGTCTAAGCCTTCAGCACAGCCCAGTAGATGCTCACTTTGCTAGAGAAAAATCTAGAAGAGGGAGAGGGGTCTCCACCCATAAGGAGAAAGAAATGCAGAGAGATTGTCCCATGAGGCGGAGTAAAGCCGGACACCCCAGAGATTTGCAAACACACAGCCTGACGTAGATTCTTCTGTCGCATGATCTAACAAGTTACATTTGCATTTTCAGTAAGAACCTTCATGACAGAGTTTAAATTAAAGAGAACTTTTCTTAATACTACTGTGGAAAAACATTCAGATCTACAAGAGGTTGAAAATGAGATCACCAAAATGGTAAGTGTCCTGAATGGCGTCCTTCTACTGGTGTTTTGTTTCCTAGAACAGATTTCATTCCAAGTGGGGACTGCTAGGGGTCAGCTGTGTCTCCTGGGCTCTTCACTTTTGTTATATTTGGAAGGGAAACTTCATGGTAAAATAAAAAGCCTTTCAGAAATGGAAGTGAGGTGTTGGTGCCCAGTAGAAGAGTTACTTCAAATGTGTCCTTATGCACAGTCTTTATCTGCACCTTGGTGTTTCTTTTCCATGTGCAATCTCATAGTCACAGACCTACAGATGACAGACACCAGCAGGAGCTGTTGTTGAGGAGGAAAGACCCAGAAAATCATGTGGTCCCACCTGCTGTTGACACACTGTGTGACTTTCTCCTTGTGTTTTGGAGCTCGGGGGAATGATATTCTTTTTCCTCAAAGGAATGCCAAAGGTGCCAACAGTTAATCCTGATGTCCTAGGGTTTGAGAACTCACTGTATACGTAATTGAGGGGTCATTTGCCTGCTTTTTGTCAGAATTTTTTTTTTTAAAGAAAAAGGCCATCCTGGGCAACATGGCAAGACCCCGTCTCTACAAAAAATACAAAAATTAGCTGGGGTTGGCGGCATGCACCTGTGGTCCCAGCTACTCAGTAGGATGAGGTGGAAGGATCATGTGAGCCCTGGAGGTTGAGGCTGTGGTGAGCTGTGATCAACCACTGCACACCAGCCTGGGTGGCAGAATGAGACCCTGTCTCAAAAAGAAACCCCAAAAAACAACAATAACAAAAAAGGAAATGGAGAAAAATAAAGAAGGGAGGAAAATGAAGCTCAGATAATAAACTTTGCTTCTCACCTACTAAGTCAGAGTAGGTGACTCATCTATACAGTGAGTTCTCAAACCCTAGGTTCAGAAAATTGAAATTTGCCATTAAAAATCTTTAGAGATGAATTGATTTCCAATCTCAATTTTACTTGTTCTTTGTAAGAGTTAGTATATTAGCCAGGAATTATACACTTCTATAGGACTTTGGATTTTATTTGTGTAAAATATGGATCCAATTCTATTTCTCTGACGCTGGAGCATTCACTTCATGATAGCGATGAAGCCATTTGTACGCTCCTGTAAAAGGCATTGCCAGCATGTCTGCAGATAGGAACCCGGGTGGTCTGGAAGTGACTGGTATTGCCTGAGTCTGCACAGAGCAGGTGCAAAGTTGGGGAACAGTCCAGTAAGCCACCCTTACTACTGATACCAATTTCAAGTTGAGGCATCCCCAAAGACCACCCTCAGTTTCAATAATTCACTAGAGGAGTCACAGAGCTTACTAAAAGCTGTTATATTCACAGCTGCAGTTTATTACAGTGAAAATCAACAGGTTAAAATCAGCCAAGGAAAGAGATGCATGGGGCAGGGTCCAGGAGAGTTCCAAATGCAGAGCTTCCAGCCATCCTCCCCTTGAGGAGTCATGCAGTGCCGACTCCTCCTGGCAACAGTGTGTCCGGTATGCAGGGAGTACTGCCAACCACGGAAGCTCTCCAGAACCTTGCATGGGGCTTTGTCATGTGGCTGACCTCAATCTCTAGCCCCTGTAGACGTGGAGCTGATACCATGTTACCCAGCCACACCATAAATCACATTGTTGGACTCTCTGGCATGGCCTAGCACCCCCAGGTAAACAAAGACATTTTTATTAGACAGCAGATTCCAAGGGCTTAGAGATGGCCTCCCAGGAGCCAAGAGCAAAGACCTGACTTCCCTTTGGCTGAGGTTAAATTCTTTACTACACAGCAGAATTTTATGTCTACTAATCCTGTACTTTGTCCCTTCACCACTGCTGCCCCTTGGTCGTGCTGTGGATGGATATCTCCTGCTAAGATAGCATCGGGGTTTAGACCCCTGTGCAGAAGTACAGTCCTTCACATTTCACTCAGTGACTTATCTGACTTGTTATTTTTTTGCCCAGTATCAACGTGTAATTTACTGGTGATGTGACACACCTGTCCCCAAGAAAGAGTGAAGATTAATCAATCATTGGCTGCGGAAGCCACGCGAATGGTCTTTCCCAAGAGGTTTATGGTCTTTCCCAAGATGTTCTGTTTACCAAACCTGGAAAAACACGTTAATAATAAAACAACAATAATAAATCATTGCTATTAGGCTGTAAAGTGATGTCATAAGAGGCTTAAAAGGGTTTGATAATGTCCCATGTTGCCTCCATCTTCTGCAGAGTGGCATGTATCTGAGACACAGGCCTTGAAGACAGGTGGGTCTACATTGGACCCAGTACTGGGTCCCTCTGCTCCCGGAAGAGAGTCTCTAGCTCCTACTATACAGGGCAGCAGGGAAGCAGACCTGATATTTCACGCTGTTAGAGGGATTTTCTTCTGTCTCCGAGGGCACAAGGCAAACATAGGGAGAGTAGCTCTTAATTTGCTCTCCACAAAAGGGCTCTTGACCCACGTAATATAATTTCTCATGGAGAGCCTTTTTGAAGAAGACCTGTCTTTGAGTTAGGTCAACTCATTGTAGATGATGAGGCGTCTATGTAGGGCCTGTCAGACCTAGGGTAGCTGAAAGGAGCCTTTCCAGTGCAGCTTGTTCACTATGCAAAGTCCAAATAAACAGTTGCCTCTGAGTTGTTTGAAACCCTGGGCCTTAGAAGAGAGCTGCTCCTTTGAAGATGTTTTGCATCCAAGGGTGCTGTTCTGAACATCATTTCCTGCCAAGATTTTCCCCACTGATTTACTCTCTGCGTCTTTCTCTTTGTACTCATGGAACAACAGAAGGCATTTAAGAGGGGAACAAAAAAAGGACACTACTTCTGTGCAAAGCCGCCTGCTGATAACTTGATGGCTGGAAAATGCCTGTTTTATCCTGAAAATAGGAAACTGATTCTAGGTCCAAGGCTTTTGTCTAACTAGCAGTTAACGACAGACTTGTTCTTCATTTCAGTTAAATATGTGTTTTTCAACGTTACCTAGTTACATCCGATCTACAGTTCACGCCTCTAGGTAAGTAACAGAATTACATTTGCTTGTGAACCAGTCTGTAGAAGTGGAGGGCGGGGCTGTTCTAACATGGGTGACAGCAACAAAACCGGGCCCTGTTTTAACCCAGCCATGGGGTAATCCAGGGCCAAGGTCAGTGACCTTCATGCTCTCCCATTCCGTCACTGGAGAATGGCGATGACACTCATTTCTAAAAGTCTTGGGACCCACGTGTCATTTCAGGGCTATTAAAAACCCACAAACTTTGCCTATAGGGAGTCCAATGCGGTGGTGATCTCAGTGCAGACAACCTTTTCCCTGGCCTCCAATGTGACGTTGTTTGACCTGGCTGATAGGATGCAGAAATGTGTCAACTCCTGCAAGTCCTCTGCTGAGGTCTGCCAGTTCTTGGGATCTCAGAGGCGGATCTTTAGAGGTAAGAGGAATGCCCTCTCGGAGGACCCTACCTGTATAGTTAGGCACAGACCTAAGATGGAAATGCAAGGCATCCAGGGCTCAGGCCCAGGAAAGGCCCTCAGAGAGCCTATTTTTGACATGGGTGTTAAGCAAAAGACCTTTGTGTGCATGTATCTTCTTGTATGTGTGCGTGCACATACAAACACATGCACACACGCACCCAGGGTCCCATACACACAGCCTTGAAGACACCTGATCCTTGGCACGCAGCTCCTTCTATTTCTTTTATCCAGTGTTGATGTGGGAGGGGGAGGGATATAGGAGCTGATGTAATGTAACAAAGCAGAAATCACTCTTTTTTCCCTTGAAAAGTTCCTGTTCTCTTTAGGGAAACAGAATGTACATACTTGTCAATGACCCAGAAAACCTTCATCTGGCAGCTCACACCTGTAATCCCAGTACGTTGGGAGGCTGAGGTGCCCTTAAGCCCAGGAGTTCAAGGCTGCAGTGAGCTATGATTGCACCGCTACACTCAGCCTGGGCCACAGAGTGAGATCCTGCCTCAAAAAACAAAATAAACAACCACCACCGAAACCTTCATCATAATACAGTATTAGGTTAAATAAAAAAGCATGTGCAATATTACCCATCTTTTGTGTTTGTTTGTTTGCACATTATAAATGCACAGAAACAAGACCAGAAGAATGCAGGCCAGAATGCCCACAGTGATGCCATAAATGATGATTTCCCTTTACTCATTCTTGCTTTGTCTGTTTTGTCAAAAGCTTCTATAGTGCATCTGGTGTGAGGCAAATTAAGAAAGGGATTGGAGACAAGGTCAAAAGGGAACTTTGGGTCTTAGAGGGGAAGTTCACCTCTGGGACAGGAAAACTCACTGGAATCCAAAGTGCTTCTTTGCAAAGGGCGCTCGTCCCTATTGCCACATGCTACTTGATCAAAGTTAGCTCATTTTACTACACAAGTAGGTCTGGCAGAGGATGGAGAATCTAGTCTAAACCTCCCAGATGCTGGACATAGTAGAAGGTATCAGGTGGTGACACTTGGTCTGCTGGTAGATCCACGGCATTGACATTCCCAGTGGGCCTGGGTTCCGTAACTGCCAGTCAAGCGGGCTTTCTGGAGTGAGCTTATATATTCCAGAGCTTGGGAGCCAGATTGTTAACTCTTTGTTCTGGGGTAAGAGCGGGAGCTTGGCCCATTTAAGGCTAGTTATTAATTTTTAAAAAAAATCTAAACTTTCTGAAGTTGAAGTTACTACTGATGGGGAGTGAAGTAGAAAGGTCATGCCCCATTATATTGTGCTCAAAACTTTGAGACTCTGTGGTTTTACTTTTTTGTTTCTCTTGCCAAGGATTCCAGGGTAGCAAGTTGTCCTCCCCAGTGAGGCAGGAAAGGTACCTTTCAGTTCACTACATATTTATGGGGTGCATTCTATGTCATCACCATTGTACCAGGTTACTTTTTGTCCTCTGTAAATGCATTCATGCCTTGCAAATCAAGTGCCAGCTATTTGGATTTGAAAGAGCCTGCTCAGGGCAGCCCTACCCACTCTCTGACTCCCATTCTTCTGACTGCTTGTATATGGTTTATGGGATAGCGCCTGTCACCCTTTGCTGCCTTGCCGAAGTTCTTGTTTACGTCTCTTTTCAGAGCCTGTGAGAACAAAGACAGCTATGCATATCAGCTGGAAAAAACAGGCTTGCTTCCCTGTTTTTCCTCCCAGGTCTTCTCCAGGACTTGCCAAGACCAACCTGGTCTCATGCTAACCTTCCTGAGTGCTAGTGAGGTGGCCTTGATAGCTTCTGATATCTGGGTGTTGCCAGCATAAGGGCAGTGCTGGGCTACCCTGGACTGCCATTGGAAGGGAGGGTTTTCTGTCTTCACAAAACATCCACTTCCTTGCCTTTCAAAGAACTGCAGCTCTTGTTGTCTCCAGAGGTTTAGTCTTTGGAAATCCCCCATGGAATGTCTCAGCTTTAGATTTACTTACAGTCTCATTGTCTGTTTTGGCGGATGTTATGCCCAGGAAGGACCATGGGAATTGTGAATGTAGCAAAATCACATTGCTGGATTTTACGTGAAAGTGAGATTCTATGTGGTCCTATTGGATGGATTTATGGTAGAACATTCTTTGAGAATGTGTAGGGTAGCGACTCCTCCACTGCAGAGGCAGGGCCTGTGTCCCACACTTTTGCATGGCTCTGCCTCTGTGCAGGGCACAGTTGCTCCAGCAGAGTGATTTGCCAACAGGCTGGATTAATGGGCAGGGTGGAAGGAAAACGAGACATTGGCTTCCAGAAAATATCTAATCAGGCCAGGCGACTCTGGCTGGCTGCTGGACAAGACTAGTGTCAGCCTCAACAGGTTTCTTCCCTGGAGGAATTTCAGGCTTGAGGACTGGCAAAGCCTTCAAAGAGTTGAGATGAGGGATTGTGGAAGTACATTACCTCCCTGGTGCCAGCTTTGCAGTGTTTGCCTGGTGAGATTTTCCATTTTTAATTTTTCTCCCTTAAATACAAACTTTTTACAATAAACAAAGGAAATTCTATCACACACACAAATGTGGCTCTGATTGAGCACGCCAGCTTCCACTGATAAAGGCAGGAAATTCAGCTTTGAGAACTGAAATTGTGTCCTAAGCTTACCTCGTGTAACCAGGCTGTCCACCGGCCCTGAGCTCTCAGGACTCACAAAAGGGCAGGTGTCGGGAACCCCATGTGGGGTGGCAACCCACGTCACTAAAACCTGCCTGGGCAGGTGCAGTTTTGCAGCATTAAGAGGGCATACCTGGCTTCTGAATAGGCTGGCATCCTCCTTAAAGTGGGAAATGGGAGACCATGCCTGGAAAATTGGCAGCCATTCTTCCCTGCACGATAGATACATGGCCCTTCACCTTGCCTTTCTTCCCGTTCTAAATTTGAGCTTGCCCCACATAATGGCAGATATCTAGCTTGCCTTTCCCTGCACATGGGTGTAAATAAGGTACTATCCACTATCTTGTTGGTTTCCTATTTTTGTTCTATTCCCTGTGTACCCCATATACACGTTAGACCTATGCACCCTCATTGTGTCTGATGTATACAACTTCATAGAGGGCCATATGCCCCAGAAGAAATGCTTTCTGATAATAATGAAATGATTCTTTGTCATCCATGAGATGAATGAGGCCCTAAAGTGAACAAGGCAGCAAGCCTGAAAGATAGGCTTCTCCTCTGTCTGCCTCTGTTTCTCTTGGTGGTGGCCTGGTGAGTGACAAGCTGCCATCTGTACCATCCAGTCCTTGTGCAAGGGACTGAAGACCCAGAGATGAAGAAGCCTCAAAAACCCATCAGTGGAGTTGAGGAGACTGCCCAGTAAATAGAATGACACTACAGCCCGGGGCAAGCAGATCATCTCTCAGAGTCCTCCTCATCACCAGTCTCTTGTAGGCAGCACACTATCAGGACAGCAAGCCACTCTGCCACAGCGAGTGGTGCTAGGTCCCTTTTTAGGCCATGTAGACACACAGAGCTGAGATGCATTTCCACCTGAGATAAGTCTGGCCTGCGCTCCTGTTCTTCGTCCAAGTCTTGGCTTCGTAAGAACTTGGCCATATTTTCTGGTTGTGCTGATCCTACCCCTGCAGTCCTTTGGAAGACACAGGGCCATTAAGGACTGTATTTGCAGTGGACACCAGAGGAGGGAACAGGGCCCTGTTTATTCCAGTTTGATTTCTCTGTCAGTCTGTGGCACACTTTGAGGGTGTTTTCAATGGGGAAATAACTCGTGCACAGCCTGGGGCTGACCAGAGAAGGAGTGGCAGAAGGCAGTGCAGATGGACTCCAGAGAGGAGAGTTGCTCCATGAGACTGCTTGGAAAACTGTTCTCAGCATCTTTAAACAGAAAGTTCATGCAGATGCATGAGCATTGAAGTGGAGGAGGTTTGAAGTGGAGGAGGTTTTGTTTTGTTTCACCATCTTGTTTTTCCATTCCAGCGGGCAGCTTGTGCAAGCGGAAGAGTCCCGAATGTGACAAAGACACCTCCGTCTGCACTGACCTGGACGGCGTCGCCCTGTGCCAATGCAAGTCGGGCTACTTTCAGTTCAACAAGATGGACCACTCCTGCCGAGGTAGCCACAGGTTCGCCCGTGGTTCTGTGCCCCGTCCTGGGACTTTGCCCAGGTCTCTCTCTCTCTCTCTCTCTCTCTCTCTCTCTCTCTCTCTCTCTCTCTGCTTAGGCATGACCATTCTAAACTGGGGGTAACTGGTTCTTGTTATTTTGCTCATGGCAGGATTGAATACATTATCTCCTTGGAATGATAGCATTATCTTTGACTGGTGCATGCTGGTCTGGCCAATTAAATTCAAAGCAAGAGAGAATGGAATGCCTGGAGTGGTAGTGCCTTTTCTTTTCTTTTTTCTTTTTTTTTTTTTTTCACTTAAAGGAAGTTAGAAAAATTATTGTTTTAATTCCAAAAGCTTTATCCATTGTCTGCTAATCTTTTAAGGTGGAAGTTCAAGCATGGAGTTGGGCCAGTATCTTTCAGAGACAGCTGAGGCCAGAGTCAGAGCCTAACTCTGCCTCGCTGATCGTGTATCATCTTGGGCAAGTTGCCTGGTTTCTCTGAGCCTCAGTTTCCTCTTCTGAGAAATGGGTATGGTGACCCTCCATTGTAGAGTCTAGAAGTTAAGGAAGGCAGTGGATATAGAGGCCCTTTATAAGCCATCAGCATCTGTTCTGCTATTTGGCCCAGGCTGTTGTTGAATTAATGAGTTCCGGCTTTAAAGGTCCCATGAAGTGTTGGAGAGCAGAAATCTAATTTTACTAACCTTTTAGGTGAAGCTTAAATTTATTTAGTTTGAGGGAAAGACTGCTCGAAGAACATAGTCCAAGAATACTGCTTTAAAATAAAATTAATTCCGGTCCAGAGCACCACACACCCTAACTCATAAAAGGCTGCTGCAACTCGCAAGCACCAGAAAAACTAACAATATAAAGGCTGTCGTGGATGACCAGTTTTCCTACTCAGTCAGCACCTTGCTGGTAACAGATGTCAATGGATGTTTCTGGAATCTGAATAAAAATCACATACTGGGGGAGGTGACATGCCACTTTTCTCTATCAGGACTTCCCGTTAGAGGACTTGTTCATCAGAGATAAAAATATATTTCAGGGCAGCACTCTTATCCTGAGCTTCAGACCTCCGACTTGGTTAGGTTTGGATACAAAGTTCAAGTGCATATCATCAACTCTCCAGGTGGGACCTGTGATGGGTTTTGAACGGGAAGGCCACCTCTCTGTGTTGGGCCTAAGTCCTGATGTGTGAACGGCACACAGCATGTCTCAGTGCCATGCCAGACTGCCATCATTGCTACAAAGAGATGATGCTTCCTCATGCCATCTTATCTGCTTTCATGCAAACTGTTCCTTGTGCCTTAGACATGAGGAGTTGAGCCCATCTTCATGGGGGAAGGAAACTGGGCTAATATCTGTGTGTTGGGGCGCTGTGCTGCTGGCAGGAGCTGACACAAGGTGGGCAGAAGCAACAACATGGTGCTGTTGTGTTCTCTGTGAACAGTGTCTCAACAGTGGCCCTGTCACCTTTGCTTCTGGCTGGCCTGCACCACTTCCTCTGTTTCCAAGTCAGCAATTTTATAGATGACTTACAGGCTAGCATTAACAATAGCTGTCAAAGATTTACTGAGTGTGGTGGCACAGGCACCAGCAACCTTATGTTTACCAAGTAAGGACCCAAGAAGCAGCCAAAGGAAACCTTGATTCGCTTTTGGGCTTGTTGCTGAGACCCTGTGAAGCCCTTTCTCTGCAGTATTTGCAGCCATCAGGCCACTGATGAGTGGATTCCGGAGCTTCTTGGGCCACAGCCCTGTAGGCTGGGTTCTGATGGGTTAGCAGTGACATCTTCTGGCCACCAGTGCTGGAGCACGGACACCTCAAATCAAGGCTCAGTCCTATGTATAATAGAGGATAGAGGAGTGTGTTTTCTAAATCACTGCAATTCAAGCTGTATACATTAGTAAGTCTCTATGTTCTCTGCTATGTGCATGCGCGCACGCGGACACACACACACAATATGCTTGGTGTCTCACAGAAAATGTCTTTAACAGACTTTCAAAGCTAAATATAAAATCAAAGTAAACGTCTGTCTCATAGGTTTCTTAGCTTCCTTCCATCATGCAGGCATCGTGATGAATTCTTTTTTTTTTTTTTTTTCCTTTTTAGAGACAAAGTCTTGCTCTGTCACTTAGGCTGGAATGCAGTGGTACAATGAGATCTTCCTGCAGCCTTGACCACCTGGGCTCAAGCGATCCTCCCATCTCAGCCTCCCAAGTAGCTGGGACTACAGGCCCTTGCCACCATGTCCAGCTAATTTTTGTATTCTTTGTAGAGATGGGCTTTTGCCAAGTTGCTGAGGCGGTCTCAAACTCCTAGACTCAAGCAATCCTCCCACCTCTGTCTCCCAAAGTGCTAGGATTATAGGCGTGAGCCATCACACCTGGCAATAAGTTCTCACAACCTGTTTGCATGTGTCTTTCTTTAATCAGACTGCCAGTGCCTTGAGAGCCAGAACCATGTCCTGAACAGTGCAGGGTTCAACAAGTATCTGTTGAATGAATGAATGGATGAATGACAAGACAGCAAATAAGATAGGAAAGGATTGGCATGTCTAGACATAATTTCCTGCAAGGGAACAAAAGAGTTTTTAAGATGCCACCATCAGTGGGGCACAGTGGATCACACCTGTAATCCCAGCACCGTGGGAGGCCTAGGCAAGCAGATCATGAGGTCAGGAATTCGAGACCAGCCTGGCCAATCTCTACTAAAAATACAAAAATTAGCCAGATGCCTGTAATTCCAGCTACTCGGGAGACCGAGGCAGAATAATCGCTTGAACCCGGGAAGCAGAGGTTGCAGTGAGCCGAGATCACACCATTGCACTCTAGCCCGGGCAACAAAGAGAGACTCTTATCTCAAAAAAAAAAAAAAAAAATGCCACCATCTACTTATTTCTATTTTTAAAGTTTTTATGGCAATAGGGGAAGCCCAGTTTGGGAATATATACTAGCTGTTGCCACATTCATTTCATCCTCAGTTCTCTGTGGTCAAGATTCCCTCTGGGGCAGGGGTCCCCAACCCTACCGGTTTGTGGTCTGCTAGGAACCAGGCTGCACATCAGCAGGTGCAGTTAGGAACCAGGCTATAAAGCTGAGCTCTGCCTCCTATCACATCAGCACTGGCATTAGATTTTCATAGGAGTGCGGACCCATGTGAACTGCCCATGCGAGGGATCTAGGTTACGTGGTCCTTATGAGAATCTAATGCCCGATGCATCATTCTGGAATACTTCATTCTGAGACCATCTTCCCCCAGACTGCCCTCTTGCTGGTTCGTGGAAAAATTGTCTTTCATGAAACCGGTCTCTGGTGCCAAAAACATGGGGACTGCTGCTCTAGGGTGAGTGAGATGAGAAGTGAGATGAGTGAGATGATGTGTCCTAAGGAGCACAGGAGTGCCTCACTGACAGGGTTTCCCCACAACAGCCCATGGGCACAGTAGCACTCAACCACTGATGAATGATGGAATGAGCCCATTTGAAATAGAGAAATATCATGACATCAGGGAGCCAGGTCACTTCTGAAGCAAAATGAAAACAGCCCAACCCATCAGCTCATGGGCAGGATAACAGATGGACCTTACATCCGGCTGGATGACAACCATGGAGTGGACTGCTTCCACCCAGCAGATGAGGGCTAATGTTGGGTGGGGAGATTGGATGTAAAAACATTTCCAGGAAGAAGTGTTCAGAATAGAACAGGCTGTTGTGATATCAGCCTGCCTCAGTGCTGAGATGGGTGGGGAGGAGTCACTGGAGAAGTGAGCAGTCCCCGGTGGCCGCCCTGCAGCCTTAGCCATCCACAGATCATCCAGGGCAGCTTCCCCCACTCCCATGACCTTCTGTGGCACGAGGCAGAGGCACACGCAGGAGGAGGGCAACCAGGTACAGACGCAGGAGAGGCAGGAGCACTCAGCTAGCTCCTTAGAGAAGGCCCCACCTGAGTGAGGCCAGCAGAGAACTCAGGTATCAAAGATTAGCAGATGGGCCTCATTGCTTCTTCCCTAAATGGGATGCGATTAAGCTCTACCTGTGGCATAAAAGGATCTGAAGCACTAGTGAAAATTCATTTGATAAAATAAGGTTTAAAAATATGTAAAAGGTAAATCAGGTTGAAGGGGAAATAAACAGATTGTTTTGTTGAGGCCAGAAGGAAAGTGAATACACAGAAAGAGACACAGCAGGGTCCTGCGTGTTTGCTAAAAGAAGGCCCCTCATTTAAGTGCTGAGCTTCCCGGACACTGAGGCAAAGAGAGAAACATGACTTTGAAAAGAGTGGGGGTCTGTAAAAAGAGCAGCTGTCCAGGAGCATCCCTGTCTTTCTAAAAAAATGGAGCCAAGTGAAATTTTTCTAGGGCATCCTGAAGAGGTTACTGAGTGGTATTGTGGCAAAGCCATCCATGACATCCCCAAATAAATATCTTAGGGACTTTCCCATGACTGTGCTTAAAACAAAAAGCCCTTAATACAAGAGACTGTAGCTCAGGAAAAGTGATTCTGTGGAGCCAAAACAGTTCAGTCCAGGTGCACAGCTCTCTAATATCTGCTATGAGACGTATTACAGATGATTTAGAACAGTGTTTTTGAAACTGTATTCCATAACACTCTAGAGATATGTCAACAGAAGGTCTGTGACAATAAAACAGACGCCTGAGATACTCAGCTGCTAACATGAAGAAAGTAGGTGGAAGAACATTGAACACATCATCATGAGGAAAGTTACCCGGTACGAGAAAGCTATCCAGCCCCAGGGCATCACTCCCCAGCCGTCTGCCCCTCCTCACCCCCGGACATGCGTGCTGCTGGCCCTCACAACCCACCGTTAGCATGTCTGCTACTCCATCAAGGATTGCAGCTTTACGCCCTATGCGTTTTCTTATTTGTGATCTTTTATGCAATGTACCTCATACATTAACCCTGAATCATATTTTTATCATTCCTTGCAGCAGAGAATTTGTCGTGAGGCCATTTTTCATTGTCTGCTTTCATCCAAGCATGCATTATAGCTCATGGTGTTCTGTCATCTTATTGTTATGTTGAAAATGTCCTGTAATCATGTAAATTCAGGAACTGGGGATCCAGGGAAATGGCCAGGCCACAACTGCTTCAGTGAAGTGGCGTTCCGTGAGCCCCACGACCTGAGGGTTCAAAGTTCTGTTCTTTGGGCAAGGTGGTGATTAGCACACATCTAGATATGTCCAAAATCCCCTATACAGATTATAGGGTGAGGATTCTGTTATGAAAACCTGGGCACACACCAGGACTGTGCCCCAGAAGATGTCACTCACAGCTCCCCGCTTCTCTTGGAAGGGCGTCAGCAGGGCCGGTGTCAGGTTAAAGGTTTGATTTACATTAATGAAAGTGAGCCATTTGTCTTTGTGATGGAAGCATGTTCCCAGGAGACATTCTTCATCTATAGAGAACTTCTAAATGAATTGCTTTGGTCGTATAATAATTAAAACTACAGGCCGGGTACGGTGGCTCATGTCTATAATCCCAGCACTTTGGGAGGTTGAGGTGGGTAGATCATCTGAGGTCAGGAATTTGAGACCAGCCTGACTAACATGGTGAACCCCATCTCTACTAAAAATGCAAAAATTAGCTGGGCTTCGTGGCAGGCCCCTGTAATCTTAGCTGCGCAGGAGGCTGAGGCAGGAGAATGGCTTGAACCCAGGAGGTAGAGGTTGCAGTGAGCTGAGATGGTGCCAACTGCACTCCAGCCTGGGCGACAGGGCAAGATTCCATTTCAAAAAATAATAATAATTACAACTACAAAACATTGATTTAGTGGTTATGGTTACTATGTACCAGACCTGTACTAAGCTGTTTGCATGCCTTATTTTACTTAATCACCTCCAATAAAATAATTTTTATAGCTGGAGATCGAGAGCCACAAAGAGCTTAAGAAAAGTTTCTTGATAGGGTTAAGATTTGAGGCCAGGCATGGTGGCTCATGCCTGTAATCCCAGCACACTGGGAGGCTGAGGCGGGAGGATCACTTTGAGCTCATCAGGAGTTCAAGACAAGCCTGAGCAACAGGGTGAAACTCTGTCTCTACTAAAAATACAAAAATTAGCAGGGTACAGTGGTGCATGCCTGTAATCCCAGCTACTTGGGAGGCTGAGGCTGGAGAATCGCTTGAACCCAGGAGTTGGAGGCTGTAGTAATCTGAGATTGCACCACTGCACTCCAGTCTGGGCGACAGAGTGAGACTTTGTTTAAAAAAAAAAAAAAAAGGAGTTGTGGTGGCAACAGTATTTAAGTCAGGATCATTCCAAAGCAATTTGCAGCCTTTGGTACTAGAATAATCCTGTGAACTTCAGGGTGGCTGGCGTTTAATTAACTGGGAGTTTGGGAGCGGTAAACAGACACATTCATGCATTTTCCTTTTCTCTTTCAGCATGTGAAGATGGATATAGGCTTGAAAATGAAACCTGCATGAGGTAGGCTCTATGTTCATTTAGTTTAATTTTGTTACAAATCTTATTTAGAAGTTATTTAGATGAATTGCCTCAGTTATTTCTTTTGAGATTTGAAACTAATTCTCACCCTTTTTTCTTTCTTGGCTTACAGTTGCCCATTCGGCCTCGGTGGTCTCAACTGTGGAAACCGTAAGTATGCGCGGGCAAAGGCCTGACCTTGTTGTTAGTGACAGGTGTCAGTCACCTCCCACTTCCCTCAGTTCACATCCACAGTCTTCTTAGGTTCCGTGCTGAACCTCAGGGGGGAAACAAAGAGAACGGCCGGTGCAGTGGCTTACACCTATAATTCTAGCACTTTGGGATGCTGAGGCAGGTGGATTACTTGGGGCCAGGAGTTCGAGACCATTCTGGCCAACATGGTGAAACCCTGTCTCCACTAAAAATACAAAAATTAGCTTGGCATGGTGGCATGTGTAATCCTAGCTACTTGGGAAGCCAAGGTAAGAGAATCTCTTGAACCTGGGAGGCAGAGGTTGCAGTGAGCCAAGATCACGCCACTACACTTCAGCCTGGGCGACAGAGGGAGACTGTGTTTCAAAACACAACAGCAACAACAACAACAACAATGAGAAAGACTTGACTGGTGCTGTCAGGAGCTCAAGGTCTGGGCAGGGAGAGAAACACTCACTCCTAAATAGCCCAGCTGTGCTGAGTGTTACTGTGATAACCAGACATGGGGTATGGGATGGGGAGGCAGGGACTGTGTCCAGAGAAGAATGGGAGGACACTCGAGAGTACTTCTTGAAGGGAGTAGAATTAGGGAACATTTGCAGAGATTTAGACTAGCAGGTGTGGGAACAGTACATCCTGGGCAAAGGAAACAACTTAGACAAATGTCTTGAGGCAGCCATGGGCCTTGGTGTTCCAGGGACAGTGTGTAAGTGGGCGTGGCTGGAGGATAGGAAGAGAGGAAGGCAGAAAGTGGAGGATTGGGGTTGGCAAAGTATATGGGGTCTGAACTGCTGGGGTTGGGATCACCAGGCTGTAGAGTGTAGACTCTAATCAGTAACTGTCAAGCAGCTGGCAAAAGTCTTAGAGCAGGAAAGCAGTTTGATCAAGGAAAGCCATTTGGGCTTCCGTGAGAACAGACTGGACAGAGAAGAAGCTTAGAGGTTTCCAGCATAGTCCCACTGGGCATCACTGAGACACGCTTAGAAGTCCTCTCTGCTCCAAGTGGAAGGAGAGGGTGGAACGCAAAGCAGCCAAGAGTGTTGGTGGGGACTGCGAGCGTGGTGTGTTTTGCATCTAATCCAGTTCTTTGAGAAAAGCAGTTGTGATTCATTTAAGATTGCTTGCACTGACATTTTCTTATATTGATACATTAGAAATTGAAATTTTCTGCAAAATTAAAGAAATTTGGGGATATAGCATATTATAAGATGTAATAGAAATACTCACAATGAATGTTTTAGTTTAGGACAGCTTTATCTCTCATCCTATAGACAAATGTGCCAGTAGACTATACACTAAGTGTACTAGAAGGAAAGTAGACACGATTTCATTTAATGTGTTTTTAAAAAAGCCCCCAGTTTCTATTTCCCAGTAGTATACCTTACATCTAATGTCTTCAGTGGTGTTTTCTTTGTTCGTAAAGCTTTTCTATTAGCAAGTTTCATTGTTGACTTCTTTTGAGCATAACTAAAAACATAAAAATAATGAAATAAAATCAAACACATTTGATGCTGAATATAAAACTGGCATAAAATTCTTTTGGTGCACCCAGAGTCGAGCTACTTCCAGGCCAGAGTCTAGAGACTTGGAATTACATATCCTTTTAGGATTACTGATGACTTTGGTCATCTGTTTTGTCCTGACTGCAAACTAGCAAGAGGTTACCGAAGATATCCTCAGAGAAAGACTAGGGAGTTACTTCTAGAAGCAATTGTATTTACAGTCATATGAGTAGAGAGGGAGGAGCTCACAGAATTGATGTTCATTTTTTAAGTAGCAGCCTGCAGCCCTGGGTGGTATAATAAACAAACCTGTACTCCTTAGAAGTTCCAGAGGACACTGTGGGGCCATAGAACCATATGATCATGGCCCTTCACTCCAGTGGACCCCAGTCATCATGTGCTAAGTGGTGTTTGGTGCACTCAGTTTAATAAGGCAAGAAGTTATCATACTTGAGGGGTTTTTTTTTAATATAAATTAAAAAGTAGTCAAAATTCTTTCTAGGTGTCGATGCTTAGCAGGGTAGGCTTGAGTATTTTGGAGATTTGGTTTATGTAAAACAGTCTGGATGGCAGTATATGCCCTTTTCTAAAGATCAGTATTCAGGCAAGCCTGTTTCTCATCTGAGCTCAGGGTCTTTATGTTTTCGTGTTTAGGAGGATACCTGTGTCTTAAAGGGCTTGGCTGGACTACAGAATGGTGTGTGTTCACTTTTTAGTGTGAATCTCATTTTTCACTCAAAACCAGAACAGAGTCACAGAGAGCTCGTAAACTGATCAGAGAATGGGGTAGCCTATGCACAAAAATAGATCAGAAAATCTACAACTTTTCAATGTGGAAAAAGGCTGAATAATCAGACAGAGATTTAAGATATTTAAGACTTGTTTCCCAAATGCTGGAATACTAGAACTACATAGTATATACATATGTAGTCTTTCGGAAGAGCTGCTTCAAGGCTAAGAGTAGAGGTTACATCACAAGCCTGAGGACCAGATCCTAAGATACTGTAAGTATTAGAAACAGAGAGGCTTAGACAATTTCATGCAGTATGGATTAAAAAGAATATGAGGGAAGGGGACTCAAGGTGCCGCAATCTGTATCATGTGTGCAAGAAACTCATCTGAATGCAATCCTGCCCGATGGCAGAGAAAGAGCCAGTGACACAGGTGAGAGGTGTGGAGGTGTGGCCACCCCATTCTCCACGTGTGCCCTTTGGGTGAGCCAGGGAGCAGGAGGTAAGAGACGTGACCTGCTCAGTCCTCTTGAGGCCTCTCATCCCTGACAGGCCTCTCATAGTATGAGCTAGTACTTTAAACCTGCTTTGGTCAGACAGCTCCCTAGTTTTCATTTTTTTATTCTTAGAGATGAGGTCTCACTCTGTTGCCCAGGCTGGAGTGCAATGGCCTGATCATGGCTTACTGTGGCCTCAACCTCCCAGGCTCAAGCGATCCTCCCACTTTGGTCTCCCACAGTGTTAGGATCACAGACGTGAGCCACCGCACCTGTCTCCTAAATAAGTTTTATTAGAAAATGCTTCATGTTTCTCAGTGAATGGAAGAGTGATCCATCGAGGGAACGTGAGTCTATACGGGGTTGCGGGAAAGGGGTGTGAGCTGCAGGGCATTATTCTAAGTGGCACTGGCAACTTTTTTCTCAGAGATTATTAAGTACTATACATGTTTGGGGATGCTGTTTCCCTACATCATTGACTATCCTGTAAGTTCTTATGTCAGGAAAAAGTCAAGCCCTCCCTATTATGTTTGTAGGGTCCTGGAAGTAGCCAAGATTTCTCTCTGATTCCTCAGACTTCTTCTTCCTCCCAATTTGTCCGAGTCACCGTCACTGTGTCCAGCAGAGGGCAGAGGCCTGTCGGGATGGTTAGCTCTTGGCCACCTTTTGGAACTGGCAGCTTATCGTTAGTGTGTTAACTTTTGTTATTCTGTGATGGCATGTGGATATCACCTTACCATTTTGATGTCCCTATTAGTTTCAGTGTTGCAAGGCAGTTAATATTATGGTGGCTGACAATAAATAGCACTTGCCACCTGCCTCTTTCTCTGAGGTCTGGGCCCAGACCTGGGTGTTGGTTAAGGAGTTGGGAATTCATCCCTCTCTATGGTGATAACATCTTGGGAGTCTGTGACTCATCACTCAGTGTTTTGCGTCAAATAGCAGGGCTCTGACCGCCCACCGCTGTTACTCCCATTATGCCACCAAAGACAGCAGGAGCCCTCCTGGGGCTGTGACTCAGGCTGGATTTTTTACAGGCAAGAAATGCCTCTTCTCTGTGCAGACTTCTTAGGGCACATCCTCTACCCAAGCCCAGTGAGACTGGGGAAGCCGGCTTTTTCCAGCCAAGCACACAGTCTTAAGATATTCTCACTCCTACGTTCCTTGCAATCATCCAACTCCAGTAGATTTTGGCTTTAGGCATAACCTATGTCCTACCCCTCTAAAAGTTTCTGTTCGCTTTCTAGTTGTGCCCAGATTTCAGTCCTCACTCCTTATAGAGAAACTGGAAAGGGCAGGGCACAGTGGCTCACGCCTGTAATCCCAGCACTTGTGGGAGGCTGAGGCAGGAGAGTCGCTTGAGGTCAGGAGCTCGAGACCAGACTGGCCAACATGGTGAAACCTCATCTCTACCAAAAATACAAAAATAAGCCAGGCGTGGTGGTTCACGCCTGTAATCCCAGCTACTCGGGGGGCTGAGGCAGGAGAATCTCTTGAACCTGGGAGGTGGAGGCTGCAGTGAGCTGAGATTGCACCATTGCACTCCAGCGTGGGCAATAGAGTGAGACTCTGTCTCAACCAGTCAATCTATCTAATCAATAACTGGAAAGGCAGGACAAGCCCTTCTCTCACGTCTTCACCCCTGTGGAAAAGCGGGCCCTGCCGGCCTAGCTGAGATAGGAACCCACTCCTGGGTAGCTCAGGTCTGCACCTTTCTTATCACTGCTCCCCTTTTAATTTTCTAAATATGCAAACTATCTGTCTGTTTATATCCCAGATTCTACCAGTTCCAACAGCAAATACACTGTTTGCCAGATGGCCCCAGAGTTCTTTTAGGAATGTGTCATCAGAAGTGTCTTTCTCTCCCCTGGCTCCACCCTTTTCTTAGGGTGTGCACATTTCCTCTGTTGCTGGATGTTTATGTTGGTTCTTCCTCAGAGTTTCACAGTTGCTCTCATGACAATTTGGGTTGTTTAGGCTTTTTTCTGTTTTTAAAATAAATTACTTTTTAAAAAAATAACAATACAGCACCTGTTCATTAATTTCCCCTATTTTAACCCAAATTAATTAGCAAATAGATAGAAGTTAAGGGAAGAGGAGAAGTAAACAATCTCACTGCCCATTGAAGGCCGTGTTCACCACGTTTCCTTACTACCAAGTGTGGGGCGTGGGGCATAGGCCGGCAGGGTCCATGTCACCTCAGAACTTGTTGGAAATGCACAACTTCA